TTTTTTTTTTTTTTTTTTTTTTACATCTGCCATGCTTTTTCTAAAGTTTATAGCTAGTGTACAAAGATTAGGACAGCCTGCCACAATAAACTTTTACACTAAAAATTGAGTATTTCTCATGTTGCTAGTTTATAAAGAGTAAGGGACCGTCCGTTTTATCATCATTTTTACAAGTCTACAAAGAGTTGCATTTTTCTAGACATCCCTTCCCCTTTCAGAGACTGCAAAGTGGAATTGAAGTAAAAAATGATGACCCTTGACAACAACTCGGATCATTTTTATTATTTTTCAAAAACCCACAGATGGCATTTATCCCTCCTCCCTCCCCCAGCGTCAGGTTTGTAAATTTGTGAAAATGATATTTTTTTTTAATAAGTGGGTTACTGTAAGGTAAACTGTCAAAACGTGTGATACTTACTGTGTCTTGTCTCTGTCTCCACTTCAGACAGTGATGGTAGCGGGTACAGGAGAAAGAAACCTGGAAAAAAGACATATACGTATACCACTTATCTTGGCTTGTACAGTGAAAAATGCAACTTTTTACTCATTCAGAGGAATTATGAAGTAAAAAAAAAAAATTGGGAGGGAGATCACCGATTTGATTTATGTTGCAAAAAGCTGTTGATTAAAAATGCAACTTTAAAATTTAACAGCTTGGATTACAAAACATTTTGACAGGCATGTGATTTTCAAACAAAACAAAGCCATCTAGAGGTAGACAAGTTTCTTCGTCTAACTCTGTTTCTTTGAAGTTTTCAAAACTTAACTGACAGATATTCAAGTGGCATATAAGACTAAAATCGGAAGAGTTCAGTGAGAAATATCTGGTTACCATGGTGTACAAGGGAATCCATTTTTTAGGCATCAGCCAGTGTAGAATGCTGTCCGTTTTTTTCCTCAGGTAAAACCCCTTGGAGTTGACAGCTGATCGCATCTAGAAATTAAGAAGACAATTATTTGTGTGTTTGTATGTTGAGATGTTAAACACATTTTGGTCCACCTTTTTTCTGCTCTTTTTATTGGATTTGAAATGATTAAAAATCTTTGCAAAATGCAAATCAATGCAAAAAGCTTAAATGTAGAATTCAGAAGAAGACTTTGGTTTCGTGATGTTATTGAATGTTGTAGTTGTTTACCTCAATGTAGTTCATCTTGGCAAGGTCGGACATGGCCTGCGCGTCCACACTCCTGGTGGCAGAAAACTGGGCCAAAACCTGGCCTGAAATAGAAATATGCTTTAATTACTAATCAGGAATATATCTTGAAGGTCTTGTTGATCGTGTCCTGTAGGACTGACAATTACAGCATGTCTGTATGAATAGAGGAGCTGTGTGATTGAATTTTAAATCCTGCTTGCTATTTTTATTAAAATGAAGGTTTTGGTACATTTATTGTGAAAGAAAATGCTCGAATTAAGTAGTTTAAGCCTTGTTGCTATGGCGCAGGCATGTCCCACTAAAACTGACTTCCTATTCTCACCAAAGTCATTGTCGTACTTATCCAGCAAATTGTTGAAAATAAGGCAGTCTTCAAATCCCTGGAAATACATCAAATGTGAAACTGTGGTAATTTTTACAATTTGCCATAAAAATAATAATAATCAAAGTGTATACTGGAGTCAGTAGCAGGAATGCTTGTCACTGTTGTGGTCCTGATTTTAATAGGAATGTACTGCTGTTACATGTTAACTTTTTTTTACTCAAACGAACAAGTAAATTTAAATATGCACTAGTAAAAAAATTGTCTTCTATAGTTTTCTTTTAAAAAATGGACTAATTTTGTGCAACAGTAATTGATAACCCCCCTTCCCCCCCCAAAAAAAAAAAAGAAAGAAAGAAAAAGAAAAAACATTTGAAAAAAAAAAAAAAAGAATTGGCTAATTGAGGTATATAGAGTCCAGCTTACACAGTTCATGGCCTGCCCATAGAAAGGTACCATAGCGTGGGCTGCGTCTCCTATCAGGACCACCTTGTCTTTGTAATGGTACGTACCACACTGAAAACAACAGACAAACCACATCAGGTCAGAGGGCAGAGAAAAACTTTCGTTTTGCTGACTTAATTGCATTTTTCTCCCAAGTTTCGGTTTCAGGGATGTTCAGTGAGTAACAGAGTAATATATTGACACTTTAGCTCTAGGTGGCTGCATAAAACTGGTTTATTCTCAGAATGGTGACTGTACTGCTATTTTTCTCAAATATTTATGAAAATTGAGGTGAAAATTTGACTGAGAAGTGAGATGGTTTTTAATGTCATCATCACGATGCAGTTTACACGTTTACCTTGACACTGATCATAGACCTGGGCTGGTTACTGAAGAAGCTCTTCTTTAAGGCTTGTCTGAAATATACCCACATTTTGATTAAATTTTTCATGTTATAATTTAGAGAACAAGCTTGGTTTACACTGATAAAATGCAGTTTCCAGCTTTGTTCTCTTCTCTCTCTCTCTCTCTCTCTCTCTCTCTCTCTCTCTCTCTCAAAGATAATATTCTCTAATAATTTTTTCTGAAGAGGGACTATTGTTGCAAAATGTTCTAGTTTATGATTTAAAAAAAAAAAAAAAAACGTGTTGAATGTTTGGCCCAAAAGTTTTTCATAAATGAAAGCCAGACAAAGTCATCAATGGGATTTTAAAAAATAAAGATCTCATTATGATCTCAACATTAGTATAGCTCTGGTCTGTAATATACATACACTTACTCTCCTAACAGTGGAATGGAGTCAGGAAAATTCTCCTCAAAAAAGGCAATCAGATCCTCCTCGGTCTGTATGGCTTCAAAGTTTTCAAATGGCATGAATAGGGTGACGTTGAAAGATCCGTCAGCGTTTGGCAGAGCTATCATCATGAAGTCATTCCTAGGCCACAAGTGGAGGTAATTTGTCTCCATGGCATGCTGGAATACAGGAATACAGTGATTTCAGTATAAAAATTAATAAAAATTATAAAGTAATTGGAGTTATTAAGTGGTGACAGTACAAACATTTGGGAAAAGTTTGTCCTGTGATTTTTGGAAGTTTTTATGAAGATTTTTTGAAGATTTTTTAAAAATCATGTTTGAACAGTGTGTAGATGCTAGTTTGTTTACAGCAGCTGTTATTGTTATGGTATTCATTGTTGATTAAATTCAAAGACAAGGTCAAGATGTATTCTTAGGATTTGAAAATCACCAAAACCAGTCTGTTACATTTCCCAGTCTTCAGCAAAATTTACCAATCAAAATGCCGAAAAAAAAACATAATTGTTTTTAAATTTGTGGTTAATAAGTTTTATTCAGTGTACTTACCTTACCCTGTGATGTGGGAGGCATGTAAAGCTCCATATAACCATGTGCTATGAACTCTTGGCTGTAATCAAACCTGGTTTTCTTCATCATCTGTTGTCTCACTGCAGAGTAGGCTCCGTCGCAGCCGACTACCAGGTCACTCTGGACGCGGACACACTCCCCGCTGGCACTATGGGTGGAGGAAACCATATGGTGAAGATGAAAGTTAAACGAGAAATAAGGACATTATTGTTGTGAAAAATGGAAATAACAGTAACTTCTAGACATGATGATTCAAAATTTTCTAAAATATTCAGTACAGTATCCCTGATTTGTATGACATATACAGAAAGTTGTTTTTTTTTCCTATAGTGAAATTGGAAACTACTATTGTAATACTAATTAAAAACATGCTGCGGATGGATGGATGAAATACATATCTATATTTTTGATAATTTTCCGAAAAAATAAATGATCGTAGCTACACATGTACGTATATATCCTAAACATGAGCAACAGATAAGAAAAAAAAAAATCCACCTTACTCTGTGAAGTGTGCTTCTCCAGTTTCAAAATCACAATCTACAAACTTGTGTGAGAAATGCAGGGTGACATTGGGGTGTTTCTCTGCCTCTGCACAATGAAATATAAAAGACGCCCATTATACACTGACAGCAAGTGTATGATTTTGTCTTTCAATAATTTTAGTGCAGAACTTATTCACTCTTGTCTCTTGTTCCCAAGGCAGTGTTTTAACAAATATTATTAATAATGATTAACCTTTGTGAAAAGTTGAAACTAGTCTGAACCATTTTGAATTAAAACTGTTTAAGTTACAATAATTATATTTCTTACATAGGCAGGTTTGAAAAATCTGCATTCTCTCTCACACATAGGTAAAAATAACTTTAAATTAGTATTTTCTTACTAGTTATTTAAAAAGACTCTCCTACCTGTGAGTAAGACCTCATTCAGCTTCCTCCGGTCCAAAGAAGTGATAAACTGCAAAAAAAAAAAGATGTATGTGGAATATATTTTCTTTATAGTCAGGAACACTGTAAACATGGATGAATGTATGCAAGTCCGTAATGGAGGGGCTTTGCTGGATTTTTTTAAAATTTTTTTATGAACATTATTTACACACAAAATTATCAAATTAATAAAATATTATAAAATATTTATTACGTAATTAGGATAAATGTTTTAATTAGTAAAAAAAGAGGACATTTCTTTATTTAAACCAAGTCAAACCCTATTAAAACTACTAGTAAACTGTCAGTGTGCCCCCCCCCCCCCCCTGCGGCCCTCCCCCCCTCTTACCTGGTCCTCTCTCCCATATGGTATTTTCTTCTTACTGCCGTCCAAGTTATGGACCAGGCGTGCGTACATAGGTATCCCCGAAGCAGACGCCTTCTCCTCTAGTCCAACGTTATACAACGACTCGCGTCCTCTGCATGACAGGGATAAGTTGATGCTGCGTCCGTACACACGTTCATGCGGTTCAAGTCGGCTATCTGGAATTCCATATGTTCAATTATATATTTAACTTTGCAGTTATAAACTTGACAAACTTTCAGTCCAGAGATATTTGGCACTTGTCTCATTAGCCTAACAGTTTTGAGTGGGTTGTTGAAGTACTTTACTAGAATATGGTCATACTGGCAAATGTTCATACATGATTGTTTGGAAAATTATCTTAAAGGAATCGGAAAAACCAAGTTGGAATTGAAAATCCACAAAGACACATGAGGCAAAATTATTAAGATAAGTTAAAAAATAGTGCTGACCTCTTCTTTTCTCAAATACATCAACTTGAAAACCTCTTTTGGCCATGTAGGTAGCAAGCAAGGCACCAACCTGAAAAACCACCCATTTTTTCACGCCCAAGCATTACATTCATATACTGAGTAGTAAAAGCAGTGTCAAAAATTTGTCACTTTACCACTGTTCCCTTGAAAATTTGATGATTAACTTTTGTTTTAAAATTGTATTTTTAAATTATCAGGTTACCGATATTTTTCCCTTCAAATGAAGAGGAAAATTATGACTTAATGCAATATTCAAATGTGCATAGAATGCCTAATAAGAGCCTTCAGCTGCTAACTGTTTTGAGCTATGATTGATATTGTCAACCCCATTGTTAGCTGTACTTACCAATCCCCCTCCAACTAGTGTGACATGTTTCTCCTTCTCAGCAGTGGAGCTCAGCAGGTGTGAAGTCATCTTTCTGTTCGCTGCACAGTTCTATTAAAAATAGTAGGAAAAAGAGAAGACTAAGTTGACAGTAATAGCAGCAGGGACTTATTGCAGGATTGGAAACTTGCCTGCTTTTGGTAAATTTCCTTCATTCTTGTGGGGGAAGATTTTTTAGTTTCATATCATTGTTTTCCTGGATTGATATCAGATGGTGTAATTCCCCCTGTTTCTATCTGCAGGTCAGATTACGGCTGCAGGAAAGGTACCCCCCGCCAAGGTCCTTGTCATCGGTGGCGGCGTGGCTGGACTGGCCGCCATTGGGACTGCTAAGAGCATGGGCGCCATCGTGAGGGCATTTGACGTGCGGGAGGCGGCCAGGGAGCAGATAGAGTCCCAGGGGGCACAGTTCCTGACTGTCGACTTAAAGGTAGGTTTTCTTTGACTTAAGAAAAATTTCGACTATTTGTTTTATTCATTTCTATTGGACTTCATTCTGTCTTAACAGTAATGAAGTAGAATTTAGAAAAATGAAAGTGAAAAAGCCATCTTTTTCTTCTGGCAGCAGTTTACTAGTAACATTTTTTTTTTCATGTTTGTGACATCAATGAAATGATATTTTAGCAATACTTCAGATTCTTTCTAAGTCTGATATAATATTTGTAGGAAGCTGGTGAGGGAGAGGGAGGCTATGCCAAGGAGATGTCGCCAGAGTTTATAGACGCAGAGATGAAGTTGTTTGCCAAGCAGTGTAAGGAGGTCGACATCGTCATCACCACAGCTCTGATCCCAGGAAAACCTGCGCCTAAACTCATCACCAAGGTAACTACTTATTACCATGGTAACAACTTATCACCAAGGTGAAAACTCATCACCAAGGTAGCTACTTATCACCATGGTAACCACATGTTACCAAGGTGACAACTCTTCACCAAGTTACAACTTATTAGTAAGGTAATTTGTTTTTAGCTAGAATTTGCCTCTGACTTCAAACCAAGTAGGTGTTACAGCGCTAAAGGAAAAAAAAAAACAACAATTTGGAGATATCTGTATTGTATATGCCTTTCCCTAACTGGCCTGTTAGTATATGAATTACCATGAAAATTCTTTTGAAGGTCATGTGCAGTAAGTTATGTTACATAAGCTGTAGTAAAGTCATTATGTGATAGCACAAGTATGTCACTGAGGGTGTTCATTTTGTTTTAAGAGTGAAAGAAGATGGTTAGATCCTATCCCAGAGATAATATCATAACGTGAAATAGGTAACTATATATCTATATTGTTTTACTTCACTTTGTGTAGGAAATGGTAGAGAGTATGAAGCCAGGCTCGGTGATCGTGGATTTGGCGGCTGAAGCAGGAGGGAACGTGGAGACCACGCGGCCAGGAGAGTTGTATAAATACAAAGACGTGGTCCACGTCGGGTACACAGATCTTCCCAGCCGCCTACCCACACAGTCTAGTACTCTCTATGGAAACAACATCTCTAAGTTTCTACTATCTATAGGTAAGTGGTTGAAGTAGTAGACTACCCACACAGTCTAGTACACTGTATGGAAACAACATCTCTAAGTTTTTACTCTCTATAGGTAAGTGTTAAAGTCATAATAACTCTTCGTTTTAGCCAAAAATTGGATTTTCCTGGAAAAAACGGCAATTTTCCCGTACTTACCAATGGTCAACGACCCCATTCCTGCATTCAAAGTTAATCCAGGCTTTTTTTCCTAAACGTACGGTTTTTTGTTAAAATCTCTTAAGAGATTTTAACTGACGGAGCTCTCTCTGACATTGCAAAGTCACTGGTGACCTACTTAAAACCGCGGGAAAAGCAGACAACAACAACACTATCAGTGTTTTATTTACAATTTGGAACTAGAGAGTCAGATGACTCGCTGACACTGCAGATTACGAGTCATTTTTTATTTTCAGGAGTCAAAATTTTCCCGCCTTTTTGGAATGGGTAATTTTAACTAGTAATGATGCATACAACCATATATTATGTAAATAGATTGTACATGAATTGAGGTTGTTTATTTGTAATTGTTGTATTCCAGACTTAAAGTATAGAATTCTATCTACAGGAACTGAAGAATACAAAAAAAAAAAGAAAAAAAAAACAGCTTTTGTATAAGTGTATTCAACATATGACAACAAACACACTAATAGTCATACAACTTCAAAATGATATGGACAAAAGTATGCATTTTGATTTTTTTTTTCTTACAAAAACCGTTAAAACAAAGGATTATTAACATGATTAAACCTAAAGGTAGATATATGAACAAAAAATCACCAAGATAAACGATAAATTAAAATTGATATGGATAAACTTTGTGTTGACTAGTATGTAAAAAAATATTTTTTAAAAATTATATGGACATAAATGGAAAACAATTTATATAGGAGGGAATAAAATTGTCAAACACAAAAAAAGTAGATAAATGAAGACAAGGAATTTCAATAGATAATTACTATGGCAATAACAAATTATATTCCAATCTGGAAAAATTATGTTTTGACTATTAAACATAAAAACACAATACTAGACATTTCACCTGTGATTTTATACACGTAGTGTAACATATTTTAACCATTTAGAGTAATCTCTGTCACCAGTTTGCGGACTAAACTGTTTTTTATGTCAAACCAATTACATTTGGATCTTAAAACACAATAAAATATTTAAATTGAATTTAAAAACCCGTATTGTGCCTATAGCAACATTGTACTAGTAGTGTACTATCGGTGGCAAGTTGACATACTTTTTTGCAACACAACAAGATCGGAAATAGGCCTACTAGTACATGTAGGTTTTTAATCGGCAATATTACAACACTTTTGAAAGTAATTAGTTGTGGCTGTCATACATTAGGGTCAAATGACGCACTAGATCATATTTTTTTGCGTCAATTTTAGGATTCATGCGTTTTTTACGCATGACGCAGAGGTAAATAAAACACTGCACTATATAAGATTCATGAGATATATTCATGTTTTTGTTAAAAATGCATTTATATCCACAATGTGTGCCATTCTGGGCTTTTCGTTATCCGACGCACTGTACAAAAACTCGCAACTTACGTCTGCGTCCGCATTAATGCGTTTGGCGCCATGTTATTTTGGTCTCGAATGAACGCGAGAATCCGCGTGACACCATTACGTCATTAGCAACGAATGCCTTGATGACTGGGAAGAAAAGCATCGAAAGCCCCATTGACAAGCACAGATTTTAGTTTTACTACAATAACGGCCGTTTTAGTGGTAAAATACAATAGAATATATTTCCATGCGTTGTTTGCAATGTATTTCATGCGGAATTTTGAATCTCAAAGGAAGAGATATTATTGCTTTAAACTTCGGGGTAGACTCTCTCTGACTATTTCTCTCCCTCCCTCTCTCTCTCTCTCTCTCTCTCTCTCTCACACACACACATGCACGCACGCACACGCTCGTGTGCGCATGCATGCACATGCACTGTCTATCACACCCTTTTCCTTATTTGCAACCAATATTTAGGGGTATTAAGAGGTCTTACTTGAGGTACATTTGTTCTTGAACATTGACATTGAAATATTTGATATTTTCAGGTGAAAAAGACCATTACAACATCAACCTGGAGGATGAAGTGGTCAGAGGCTCAATCATACTACATGAGGTAAGTTTGCAGTGGAAAGTAGACAAATGAAGCGATTTTGTTTCAAGTTTTCATATTTGTCTTAAATAACAAAAGAAAAAAAATAGGCGTAGCAATATCTTGTCTCCAAATGTTCAAATCACACATTCCTGTAACTTGATCTGGTATTTGAGACAATGAAATCATTGTGATAGCAAAATGGGTTGCCTACATGCTTTGCTGAAGTCAAGCACATACAATGCTTATAAGATCTTAATATGGCAAAAAAGAAAAATAATTTCAAGGGCACTCAGGGGTCACAAACCCTGCCAAAGGAGCACAGTTTTTATCAGTTGATTATATTTTATTTGATGATGGAACACCATCTTATCTTTTCTAAGTCAACCCATTTCTGACCTTTCCTGGAAATTTTATCAAAATCAGTCCATAAATTTTCAAATTAGACTGTGCAAAGTAAAAGATCAGCAAAGGAAAAAACTGAAATTTGTCCAGCTCTTGACTTATAGATATCATTGTATGATTCACCTATATTCATACTTATAACATTGTATTAGAGTGACTTGAAATGTAGAAACTTTGAAACCCAATAATTATAATTTTAACATTTATAATACATGTATGGTGAATTATAGTATCTAAGGGGAATAAGTGAAAATTACAGGAAAATTTTGTTATATACAAAAGCCTAATCTATATTTTAGGGCAAGAAAATGTGGCCACCCCCCAAACCCAAGGTAGCGGAAGCTGCCGCCCCAGAGGTCAAGGTCGAGGTCCCCAGCACTGCCGTTAAGGAGAGGAGTCCAGAAGAAATCAAGAAAGCAGAGACGATAAGTGGAGCGCGAGCTGTGACAGCAGGAATGGTGACAGCCGTCGGTGAGCTGTAATGATTTTTATGCATAGAGTTTCACTTTCTATTTTCCTTCTTGAAGTCTAAATGCTTCATTCTTTAATAATAATAAGAAGAATAAATTAATATCTATATTTTTAATAATATTTTATTTACTGTCTTAACTTCAGTTGACTATACAAGGGTAAATTAACCAAATCAGATGAAATCAAATCAAATAAATATTATAAACAGATAAAACATTAAGATTATAAATATATAGTACAAGGTAAAGTTAAGGCCAGGGTTCAATAATTATATTTCCTTCTCAGCTGTCAATAAACGAAATCAGTGATTAAATAAAAAAAAAGTTGGAAGTGATCTATGAAAACACTATGTTTTACTATAAAAAATTTGATCTTGGAAAGATTTATGATCAGTTGTAAAAGTGTCATTGAATTTCCCTAACTTGAATTATATAAAATAAAAAGATAAAAGTAAAGTAGACTCACCTCGCGTGAACTTCAGGTACAGGATAAGAAGTGACCAGAATACCAACAGGTTTTTATACCTGTATACACTAAGTGGGTGGGAAAGTTTAACTTTCTGTTTACCAGTTTTTATCAGGAATTTATCTGTGTGTGTCCTTAGGAGGTGACACAGGGGGCTGGGGGGGTAGAGGGGGGGGGCTCTTAGCCCAGGGTTGAGTCACTGCTGTGAAAAAAACCCTTTGATTTGGCTGATTATGAATGGAGTGGATTTTTTTTCCATTGTTACAATGCTTTTCAAAATATTTAGCAGCCCCCGAAGAGAAAGTCTTTTCTATTTTCTTGTTTGTTGACACTTATACAAGTATGCTATTGAGTGTTTTTGACGGTGAATCAGTTTTTTTTTTCATGGTTTCTCAGTAAATTTCATTAGGTGTAATCACTGAAAAGTCTTTGTTAAAGAAAGCATAGTGAAATCAACACTCACCTGGTGAGGACCTGTTCTTCGTGAAGTGCCAGATGCCTCTCTGAGGTTACAACAAGTGATTCAGGCTTTTTATTCAGATACTGAAACAAGGGATTTTTTCCTGTATCATGGAGATTTTTTCAGTGGATAATTATATGAAGATTTTTTTTTGTTAACAATTATCCCATTGCTGCATTGAAAATCAATACTCCAATTATGTGGCCTGGTTAAGGGCGTTTTGGAAAAAAAATAGATTCACTTTCGTAAGTTTCACTTTAAGATCTCATAAAACAGTTAGCACGTGTCCATGTGATGATTGTGCTAAACATAGATCTATGTAATGCCAAAAATTCCATAAAAATTATTTTCATGCACTGAAATAAGCTCAGTGTAATTGTGCTTTTCCAGATTTGCTTAGATATTTCTTGAAAGATTTTTCTTTTCATGAGTTAAAATTGGAAAAAATATTCAGTGTGTGGGTTTTTTCTCTGCCTCAAGTCACATAATGACTTGTGTTGACTTTGCAAGCTGAAGTTGAAACTGGCTTTACAAAGCTGTCATTTGAGACGTCTTTTTTATATCCAACATATTGTGTTTCCTGGAATTCCCTTTTACTCCTAAGTGGTTAGAAATGAAAGTGAAAGTGTCTTGAAAGGTTCACTGTATATTGTTGACTCTCTGTGCTACACAAGCAGAAAGCCAGGGTTCTGTTTAAAGATCTGCAGCTGCTTCCTTCTCTGGGAAGTTGTTTTCTGGGGGGAAATACCCCTCTCTGGGAAGTTGTTTTCTTGGGGAAATTCCCCCTCTGGAATGTTGCTCTCTGTGGGAAGTCCAGCCTTCCAAGAAGACTGGTCTTTCCAGCCAGGGCTTAGTTTAGCTTGCTTTATTTTTAGAATAGATATAAACATGCTCTGTTTTGATATAATTTATGAATAAAGGTCTTTAAGAAACACTTCTAATGTTGACAAACCTCTTCAACAGAACAAAGAGAATTCAGCTTTTTTAGCTGTTTAAAAATTTTCTTTTTAATGACTTGTTTTGTAATTTCACTTACTGGTAAATGATAATTTTTTCATCACTTTTTAGACCTGGGAATCTCAGTTCTCAAGTTAGAATTTAACTTGAAGAAATAATTTGTTCTGTTTCACTTTGAATTTATTCAGTGATTTATGAAAAGAAGTCTAAACAAAAACAGAGAAACATTAAGTAAAATTATATGAGAGAGAGAGATAGGGAGAGGGGGAGGGAAAGAGAGAGAAAGAAAAAGATGGATAGCTGAAGTCCCATTATTAACTCTATTATTCAGGTTTAGGCATGGTTGTCCTCAACCCAGCCTTTGCACATAAAATAATTAATAATATAATAATTATTATAATAATTATAATGTTATAGTCCAAGTATTTGTTATTCAGGTTTAGGGATGGCTGCCCCCAACTTAGCCTTCACACATATAACCATAATAAGAATACAAGCATTATAATAATTATAATGTTAAAGTTCAAATATTATCTTTATTATTCAGGTTTAGGGATGGCTGCCCCCAACTTAGCCTTCACACATATAACCATAATAAGAATGCAAGTATTATAATAATTATAATGTTAAAGTTCAAATATTATCTTTATTATTCAGGTTTAGGGATGGCTGCCCCCAACTTAGCCTTCACACATATAACCATAATAAGAATACAAGTATTATAATAATTATAATGTTAAAGTTCAAATATTATCTTTATTATTCAGGTTTAGGGATGGCTGCCCCCAACCCGGCCTTCGCACAGATGATCACGACCTTTGCCCTCTCAGGAATTGTGGGTAAGAATATCTTTATTATGATGTAGAAAGTGGTTAAGAACTACATTGGAACAGTGTGGTTTTGTCTGTAGTGTGAAAACAGGCAGCTGTATTTTAGAGATAAGGTTGGCGGAGTATGTCCCTGGGTGTGATGGGGGGGGGGGTCTGATGGTGACAGTTATTATAGTAATGGTTTACAGCTCAAACTGTGTTCTATGATGTATATATATATATTTTTTTTTTTTTTTTTTTTTTTCATATTTCATTTAAGAATTGCTCCCCAATGTGATACATGTGAATCTTTTTTTTTTTCTACTTAACTGTATTTGTTTCTGTTAAACCTAAACATCTGCTCTTTTGTATACAAAGACATCAAAACTGGAGCACATCAGATTTTGAAAAAATCCTCTCTGATGTGCTGTGCTTGTGTAACTATCAGTGCGCGATGTCGGAGTAGTTATAAGAGACAACTCAAATACCGTCCAGTTCCAAAATCAGAATAGTTGCTTTATTGAATTTCACTTAGATTTTTATTACAGATTACTAGTCAAAATAACATTGTTTCATGTTTATTTCTTTGACTTTCCACTGAGAAACTCTGGAAGATAACTTTCACACACACCTAATGCATGCCAGCACATCTTCAATTTTTGACTTCATTCAAGTATGTGTGAATAGAATACTTCCACAGTCCCTCAGCTTTACATGTAAATAACATTATCATAATTAATCTCCTGCTCAAATAAGTTTTGCGCCTCAAAACTTTCACAATTAAAATTTAATAATCTATTTCCAATAAAATTCTATATCATAACAATTAAACCATTTATTTAAAATCATACTTAATTTAAAAAAAAAATACCCAAACATTATTTAATCATATCATATTCTGTTTACATGAAACTTCTCATTACTGTTATATAACAGTATGAAATTATGTCCAACTGTATTCCTTCCTTAGGCTATCACACAGTGTGGGGTGTGGTCCCCGCCCTGCACTCACCTCTGATGTCCGTCACCAACGCCATCTCTGGAATCACCGCAGCCGGAGGTCTGCTATTGATGGGTGCCAGTACGGGGGGATCCACGCCTTACAATCTGGCTGCCGTGGCAACCTTCATCTCGTCCATCAACATCGGCGGCGGTTTCGTGGTGACACAGAGGATGTTGGACATGTTTAAAAGACCAAGTATGATTCAGCTTTGTCAGCTCCATGATTGTTTCAGATTATCAAAGATAGAAAATATAGATTATGAGATATTCCTCTTCCACACAAAATGACCTATAATAATAATAATAATAATAATAATAATAATTATGATAATAAAATTTATTCTTGCAACTATAAGTTGGATTGTACATATGCAATAGGTAAGTGATAAGAGTAACTAAAACACATTGCATTGTCCACTGAAAACAAGTATCATTTTTTTTTCACCGAGTTGACCTCATATGAGAAGTCGTTTTCAGTAAAGAGTTTGAGTGTAGATTGTTGATAAAACATCACCTATTTTAACTGCTGACTTAAGATTATCAATAACTGGGCAATATTTATGTTTACATTTCTATTGTTGATGCAAACATCATTGATATGAACTGTTGACTTTATAGATAATCAATACCTCAGTAATCTACATCTGTTCCCTGTCTCATAATGAAGTCATTTATCTTCTCTCCCGTCCCTAGCTGACCCTCCAGAGCACACCTACCTGTACGCCATCCCCGGGGGGTCACTCCTGGGTCTGTATGGCCTTCTCCACCTGACGGGCACCCCCGCCCACGAGCTGCACCAGCTGATGTACCTGGCGGCGGGCGTTAGCTGTGTGGGGGCGCTGCAGGGACTGTCCAGTCAGAAGACGTGTAGAGTGGGTAAGACGTCAAGACAGGCTTTGTGAATCTGGGAGTTGAAGACGGCAGTTTCTGTTTGCTGGGTTTTGTTGGGTTGTACTTGGTACTTTTATATGAAAAATAACCTTCATTTTCCTACATTATAATTACAGGGACTTAAAATGAATAATTTTGTTATAGCTTGTTTATTTATTTTCTTAATTATTTTAGTTCTAGTGTCATAATGCATAAACAAATATTGATATTTATCTAATACTTTGGCAAAATTAAAAAGCTTCTCATCAGGAAAAATCTTAATCAGTAACTATAAGCTTATTCTTGTAATTGTCACATTATATAGAATATATAATATAACGGTAATGTGCCATGAATTTCGAACAGTAGAAAATAATTAAATTTGGGAAAAGATCGTTCTGGCCGAAATTCATGAAATGGAGGTGCTCAGAACTTCCGAAAGTTCGAATTTCATGGAACTCTGTCAATTTTGACCGGAAGTTGTCTGTTCGTAGCTAGGCCTTCTGTTATCTTCTCCTGACGATCTATTTAGAGTTACCATAATGTATGATGTGTGAGTGTCGGTAATTGCGACCAAAGATATACACGTACTTTCACCCGATCACCGTGTATGGCCCATAGATAGAGCGGTACTGTTGTCTAGGGCTGCAAAACAGCACGTCCTTGCACCATTTATAAAATAATGCGTCAGTAGTGTCGTTTTTCAAACGCGATTCTGGCAGCCAGAAACTAGTGTCGTTTTTCAAAAACGATCCTGGCGCTCAGAACGGGAGTGGACGGAGGGAGAGACGGCCGACGATTAGCGTCTGTCACGGCCAGATAACCTTTACTATGGAAGCTTAGTGTTACCGTTGCTCCTTTCCGTGCACTGAAACTGAGACGACAGCCGATCAGTGTCTATAGTTGCATCAATGTACGCATTTGAAAAGCGTGTACGTTTTGTCATTGAAACCATCTTCAAACAAACGCGAGAGATAGGTAATCTAGAGTAAACCGAAAAGGCAGCTTTTATATTCGTTCAAGGGACTGGAAGCCTAGCTTTTATGATGCGTCACTGATGAATGGTACTACTTTGTAGTGTACGCTGATATTCAGTCACGACGAAACTACTTCCTAAAGCTTACAAAACACAATAAAATGTTTCTATGAACTTTAAGATACACATTCCACGCCGTGTGCAGCAGTGACAAGAGTGACCTTCATGCGGTACAAAACACTAAGCAAACTACAGGCCAATTTGTGAAAGGGGACACCTTCCGGACCTTCATACGCACGGCAACTGACAAAGCTGATTGACAAAAAGGAAAATTTCAAATTTTCAGCGAGAGATAGTACGCAATCCGAGAGAGACCAGGAGGCAATTTTCATATTTGTTAAAGAGATTTCGTAAGCCAAAGGGCGAGACGAGAACGCAATTTTCGTATCATCAGCGTCGCAATCCGAGTGAAACGAGAAAGCTCATACTCGTTCAGTAGCTTTCGTTTGNGAAAAAACTCCAGACGGCCGATTTTAAGATCGTTCGAAATTCAAGAGCCGTTCGAAATTCATGGCACTTTACCGTAGGTTCTTAGTGCGTCTGAATTTCTAGGTCCATTCTTTTGTGATGAATGAGAGTGATAAAAAGTGAATCCTACCTTCGCAACAATATTAGTACTCATATCCTATACACTACTGTGAGTGTCACAGAACTCTATTTTTTTAATGCTTTATTTGTCTTTTTCAACCAATATACCGGTATTTGACAATGAATAAATTAATATACAACTTGTTAGCACATTTTTAATAATTTAATAATATACTGGAGTACATTGCTGTAATTGGTTACCATGTTGTTTTTTGAATTACATGTGAGAATGACTGTTAAATATAATTTTGGGCCTTCGCAAATTTGCTCAGTAGATTACAACCTGATATTTATAAAAGCTGTGATGTTTGTAATATGTAATGTGATGTACATGTTTTCTGCATATTTTAGGTGGTCCTGTTATGAGCCATTTAAATGGTACCATCTCTGTTGGGAACCCAGCTCACCCTACTGTGAACAGAAGGAATGTGATTGTGCTAATGGTGAAAAACCATATGATAAGAGTGATGACATTGCCTCTGATAGTATGTCATACACTTTAACACTGAGAGGCAGTTTTACTGCCTGTGTAAGAGGCTACCACCAAACCTCAAAATCATGTAGCTGTTTTCCCATCACAGATATCCATCCTGCCTTAAACAGGATTAAAAGTCCAGCTGCTTCTTTAACTAACTCAGTGCATAAAGCATGTTTTAGCTTTATACAGAAAAGGGATTTTAATAGGGGAGCTGGAGCCACTGAATTTAATATCCCAGTTGTTCAATTAAATAGGATAAATGAGAATGGTATATCTGATGAAAGTGACAATGAAAGTTGCAACATTATTGAAGTTCCAGTGATACATCAGAGTGATAATAACAAAAACATCAGTCAGTGTAAGTGTTCCCATGTACCAGTGTTGGAAAGCAGTTCATTGAAATATGACAGCAGTTCATCATTTCAAAGAAGAATTTTCAACAGAAAGGAGTGTTTGAATAATTTGCCACCAGGTTTGCCTCTAGGGAAATCAACCATGTTACAAGTAACACCAGGCACGCCAAAAAATTGGTCAGTATTGAGGCTGTGCTCTGGAACAGGAACCCAGAGAGGACAATACTCCAGGAAAATCTGTGACAGTGAAAACAACTGCACTTTATACTCACAGCTTGATACATCCACATTGCAACCTAAGGGGTCGTGCAGGAATCGGTCAGTCAGTCATGTTTCAAACTTAACCAAAGATTTTCTACAAGGGCATTTAATTACAACTTCAAAATGGCATGATGTTAAGAGAGGACCTCAAATCCAGTCAACTCAGGGAGGTACTAGGACATCTTTGCAACATGTCTTTGCCAAAGTATCATACAGCAGTTGGTTGTCATTTCATAACTCTTTGTCTTCCATGGGGCCTGTCTTGGCAAGTGCCCCATCTAGGTACAAGTCAACTTTTAGCCTTGCTTCTAACAACAGGACTATCCTATCAAAGAAACCTTTGATCAGTCATTCGAATGGCAGTATTAAGTCACACAGATGGCCAGCTTGCATGAAAACACAATCTTCCAGACCCATTTTTACCAAAAAAGTGGATGTTTCACTGGAGAACATCTTCAGCTCGGAGAACAAAGTTCGGTCACAGAGGGCACTGAATACCAGTGGTATTGAGGTAAAGGATGAGGAGTGTGCCGCGGTATGTGTATGCGTGCTCAGCTGTGTTAACTGACATTCTGCTCTTTGATTTAGGAGAAGGAGGTGCATTTATATCTCTTTCTCAAACCAAATTGGATAAAATTGTATATATGAAGTAAAAGTGAAAAGATTACTGACATGATTTTTGATATTCAAACACATCAATTCTTTTTTTCTTTTTTTTTTTTTGTGCATCTAAATATTCAATAATACATTACCATTTTGCTGATCAAAAACAATGAAAATCCCCTTAAAAATATAAAACACCACAGTTGAGAAATAGGCACTGTTGACTTGTCTATTTATATTTATATACTAATATTCTCACATACTCTAACTCCTCTAAACAGCCCGCCAAGTCCATCGTCATCCCTATCCACCAGAAGTCGAGGGAGGCAGCGGTGCTGGTGCCCCTGTGTACTGTCAATGGCGTGCCTGCCATACTGTTTACGCTGAGGACCACCAGGATGAACAACCATAGGGGGCAGGTCAGGTGAGGCCATTAGCTTAAAAAAGGCACTTGAATTACACACTCTGTTCAAAATTAATGCTGGACCGTATGCCCAGGGCCAACAGCTTTCAGAATGGGCCGAGAAGTTTTCCCAACTGGCCAGCTACTTTTCAAGATGGTTGGATCTTCGGTCCAGCAACTAATTTTCCTCAGAGGCAAACACTGATTTACATAAGTCAATTTTTTGCCAGAAAAGACCATCAAATGCCAACATATAGTTTTGGGAAGTATGACTTATAGAAATTCCAAAAGAGAACATTTCCTATTACCTGAAAATGATTTTTGAAGAGCTGTGCATTTCTAATTTTCCAGTTTTCCTGGAGGGATGAAAGATGAAGATGATGGCTCCATAGTGGATACAGCAATACGAGAGATGGAGGAGGAACTGGGGATATCATCCAGCAAAATAGATGTATGGGGGACACTACCCACTACATCTAGCAAGGTATGTGTACAGGCTTTTAGGTTATTTATTTTATTTATTTTATTTATTTATTTTTTTTGGGGGGGGGGGGGGTCCAAAGAACTGCGTTAGGATGAAAAAAAAAAGGTCTGCTCAAAGTTAGAATTTGTACTGAATTCTGTATCATTTCTCAAGTTGGGTTAGTGAAGAAGGTAAAGAAAAAAGAATTCCAAGCTGCAAAATTTTAGGCTTCTTACAAACTGTGTAGCAAATTTGAAACTTGCCAAAACAGTTTATTTATTTTATTCATTTATTTATTATTATTATTATTTTTTAATCCTGCAAACTCCTTGCAGCAAGCTGCATAAGTCTGCTGCAAATTTGCTTCAAACTTTTCATGTTGCTATGGGGCGTGCTCCCTTCAGAATTGCTGGCTACAGGCCTGATGTATTCTGAATAATGACTCAGACACCTTGAAATTTTTGTTCTCAAAGACAGGTCACCAGTGAAGGGGGGGTGGCAGGGTCAGATTGCTTATTACTTTTTAAAACAAAGTATATGATGTACCATTATATATGGCTTGTATCCATGTATACAAGCATGCATCCATCCACATGTACACTGAATGTGTGAAATTATTCTTTTATCTGCTTTGATATACAAGTATGCTTGTCAATCTTGGTAATTGCAAGGAACTAGCAAAGTCAATTATGAATGTCTTTTTTTCCTGTTCTCAGAATGATGGCAGTATCTTGGTCACACCAGTAGTGGCCACTTGTGGAGAAATCACTGAAGACAGTCTGATAGTCAACCCTCATGAAGTACATAGAATATTCTTTTTGCTGGCATTTTAACTTGCATTTGACAATAACTTAATATTAATATTTTAATGTAATTTCACTTTTTAGAGCATTTGGAGCATTTTAACTTTTTGCAAACTCTTATTTTTGTAAGGAAACGCACCAATGAAATGATGATTATATACAATACGAAATGTGTTTTTACTTTTAATAATTTTGAATTATCTTTTACATATATTACTTACCAATGTTGATTTGGGAAATTATTTTAATAATTTTAAAAACAATTCAAACAATTCTTTTTTTTTTTCAGGTGGAGGAGATATTCTTTCAATCCATTGAATCACTATGCAACCCTGAACACCAAGGTTACACAAGGTTTCGCACGGTCATCAAGCCAGTATACCCGAATGGTTACACTTTGCCTGCATTCACAGGGGGAGCACATCGCATATGGGGGCTCACTGCTGTGGTTCTACATCAGACCCTGAGGGCTATAGCACCAGGCATTTATAACTACAGGATACTGCATGGGAAAATGTAGCTAGATTATCATGAATAGTTAGGATCTCTTTTTGGTTGAAGTAAATGTTCTTTTTTTCTTTTTTAAATTTATTTTGCCATTTTTTTTTTCTTTGATTTATATTGGAATATTAATTTTAAAGATTATCTAGATTTTTGGCTGTCTAGTTTTTATTATTGTAGAGTGAGCCATGCTGTTCCAAGGACTAGACTGATTTTTTTGTTTTATTGAAATACTTTTGTTCATCACTGTTTCTTTCTTTCTTCCTTTCTTTCTTTCTTTGTGGAGGTGGACGTGTCAAATAATTAGACCTCTTGATTAGAGCTTGTTCATGACTGTTGTATTTTTTTCTTAGTGATAGTATGCACTTCCACTGAGTAGTGGCAATATGAAGACAGTACTTAATATGAAGCACCATTTTTTTTTTTTTTTTCATTTCACACTTGAATGCAGTGACTGGACCAAGGCCCTTTTCAAATCATGGGGTAGATTTTTCTGTTTCTTACCATTTTGAGGGGCTGACCACTTGAGAGCCAGTCACATCAGAAATATTTCATGTTTCCTAACAAATGTATTGAAAGAAGCGTCCAGAATTGCTTTCAGTTAATGATGTACAGTGACATCAGTTGTGATGTACAGTGACAGTCCTGGAGAAATTGAATTTGAGAATTCATCTGTTTAATGTATTGGTTAATATGGCACAATTTACAAATCAGGATTATCCAAGTGTGTCAAAACCAACAATCAAGATATTAAGGTAAATTGATTGGTATAGTTTTTGAAATGATGTGAAAAAAAAAAGATTGTTGAGAGCAAGTCTTCTGACCAATTTGCTTGAAAACTTTGGTTGGGGTACTGATATTTGCATTATCAATTTGTTCAAATGTTTTTCTTTTAGGCCTTTCTGTCTTAAATATAATTCCTTATATTCCATGTCTAGATTATTAATATTGACTTTCTGTATTTTTTAAGAATTTGCATTAATTTAATCACACATAAATTCAGAAGGCCATAAATATTTTTCTATATATAATTTAAAGTTGAGGGAAATAGTTTTAAGTTAGTATTGCCTTATAGAAATGGGTCAAAGGAGACATTTATAATCACTGACAAATAAGAGTTTAATTGAAACAAAGAAAAATATTTTGTTGAAAATATTAGACTTATTATTAATGTTAAGGTATGTCTTATGTTTTAAACTTTTTCAAGGATGTATATGATTTAATTTATAATTCATTTAGTGTTGAATAAAATTATTTCTGCATACGTACAGTTAACTACAAGAGTTTGTGTGTGTGTGTTTGAGTTGAGAGGGATGCGACTATTTTACGTAGAATTCCTGGATGTTTGGCAAATCCATCTTAACCCGATTACATTCAGATGATTTGTGGGAAAAGAAAAGACTGACAGGTAGAAAACAAAAACAAAAAAAAAAAAAAATCAAGATAGAAAATTGAAATTCTGAAATAATTTTCATTAACCCATTTTACTTTTTTGTAGAAAATACGCATTTTTGAAAGGTTAATATATTTAGAAATATATTACATAAATTTAAGAAATAGGAAAACGAGTTCATTTCATATTTTAAAAATGACTTTTATTCACCTGACTTAAGTGATACAATGTCACAGAACAAGGCTTGAATCACAGCTAATAAAATGTGGATAACCCTACAATTATGCAGCCTCAAATGTAGACTGAAAGCTGCAGAATATGTAATCAATATTGATGTGACACATTTAATATATGATCAATATTGATCTTATATATATTTAATATCACTGCAAGCTGCTGAGCAAATGACAGAGATATCCAGCAGTGACACTGAATGTGCATCAAGATGTTTATTCTACCAACTTTCAAAATCAAATTTTGAGCAAAGGTATAAACCAATATAAGTGTAAACCAGTTTAAGCAATTGTAGAATACATAGTAAAATTTGAGCAAAAGAAATTGTTTCAGTTTGAATATTGAAAGGTGGCTCCATTTTTTTTCTTTCATTTGAGCAAAAAGATGGGCCTTCAGTCTGAAAAAAACTAAGGGAAACCTTTGTCTCTTGTTGCACTATGTAAACTTGCTGTGGTATTGTAAGCTTACTTGGCTAAGATACTTAATCAGCAGTTGCCATATACTGGCACTCGATGCCTAAATATCACAAAATGTCCACCAAAACAAATATAATAGTGCATAGCAAAAAGTTGAGCACACACAGAATGAAGGTTAATACTGTAAAAGTTTAAAGTCAAATATTTTGTAAGTCTTGATCACTCTCGTATCGTGGTGATTTTTTCGCATAAAATGATGAAATGAGTAAGTTCAATGATAAATGCAGAATAATTCTGTTGGCAAAATATGCTTGTCATGATATATAATACACTTAATCCACTATAAAATGAAAAGATCTGATGGTAATATCAGTCCATATGACATTAAGTGCAATCAATAATTATCCAAGGAGAACAGGAAGACCATATCTCTAACCAAGACAGCCTTTTTTTTTATCCCTTGGTCTGGTGTGAAATGAACATGGAAATGATAAACTTGCAATTATATTTGATGTTCTCTTTTGATGTACGGATCTCTGTACCTGTTCACCAGAATCTGATTATTCCATGATCCTGATATGGAAGAATGAATGCTGTTCTTCTTTAATCTAAACCATCCATGATTCTTCTCTATGATATATAATATAATTCAAGCTTAATGATGATCGCTTGTCCAAAGCACGATTTTCAATGCAAGTCTCTTTGAAATGGTACCTCTTCAAAAAATGCTGGTATTTTTCAACACCCAGAAATTATGTAATATATATACTATTTTTTCATGTCATGTGCAGTTTCAGATCTGCTACTCTCCATCCCTCCAAAATTACATAGAAACTGCGGCCAAACCCTCCGGCTGCTGCACATAGTGAGAACTCCGTAGGTGTAGGTCTTTGTTTACTTTATTGTTCTTGTGTAGGGACGTGGACAGGTCCCTTGGGTTACCGTAGCGCACGCGAACGTAGGACTCTTTTGGCATTTGGGTGTGTGAGAGTTGATAGTTTGTGTAATAATCTCCCTTTGTGGCATTGGCTTGTTGCTCCCTCCATTTGTTCTGCAGTGTTTGGTAGAGCCCAAAATTTGTAGCATCACCTGTGAAGAGAAGGTAAAATATATGTTAATGTGATGAGTTTTAATTGCTGCAATGTGTATTTCTGGATTAGCTGCATATTAATAGATAAATATGTCTTGAATTATTTTAAGGGCAATTTAAACAAAAATGTGGCAGCAAAAAAATGTATATGGTTACAGCTAAGAATAATAACAATAAATAATAATAATAATAATAAACATTATTATAAACCTCCAATAATGTGGGTTGTTGAAGCTAACCTTGTAATGGGTAGTCAGTTTTCTCTGGGGCCCAAGCAAGTTTATGTCCATCCCAGTCCCTCAGCTCTGGCAGCTTGTTCCACTCTGGTCTCTCCCTCTTGTTGTAATGCTCATCATACCAGGAGATCATGTTGTTGGAATATTTATTTCCATGATGTGTAAACAGCATCTCTTTGCCCAGACCTTCGTTTTTGAGCATGGCCTGCCTGCGAATGATGACATCTGGCTTTCCTGCCCCTTCATAATTCTTGAAGTCCATGCGATGGGTGCTGTTGTGTTTGTAGTTGCCTTTGTCAAACTGGAAGTGATGAAATGTATAAATAAATTATCTAATTTTCTGCTGATAATTTAGAGAAATAAATACATATAACAATGTAGAAGCTAATAGATAGATAAAAAGCAATAATATGAATTTACTAAGTAAATCACCCTTGAATTGGCCTAAATTAAGTAAAAGAAAAGTTCTTTATCCAGCACTGAAATGTTAAGTATTACAATTATTTAATTACATGTAATCTGTTCATGTTTTTGTTTCATGCAATGTATATATTATGACAGAATGATAAAACTAAATGTTTTGAAAATGTGACTGAATACGGATTTTGATAATGCGAGTACTTTATTAGTTTTACTTAAAGTTTTAGTACTCCTAGTTTGGCATTAATTATTTTCCTAAGTTCTCACCGTGTATCTCTGTTCTGCCCAGTTTCCGATCAAAACTCCATCGGCATATTTCTGCTCGATTCGCCACCCTGGCATGCCCCATTTTAGTGGATCACCGTGCGACATGTTTTATGTATCTGCACCTAGCGTTAATGCGTACAGTAAGTGTCGGCGTCTAGAAGCTAAATGTAGAGTGTTTTCCATGCGCTTCTGTTGTCATTGTACCTAGCAACAGCGTGTGACCTTCACCTGAAATCACTCCGCCGTAAAGCATGACAGCATTTCACCTTGTTCAAGTAGTGTTTTTATTCATATGTTTTACCAAAATACTAAAACTTTTGAAAAAATAGTTTTACACAAAATTTTGTCTTTGAAATAGTCTGAGTGTTCATATGTTAAGAAGTTAATTTGTGTTGCGGAAATAATGGCAGTTATGCGTTGTTACTATAATAATGTTGTTGCTACATAGCGTTTGAATGAGAAATAACGATAATCAATTACCATGCAAATATATTAAATCACTATAGTTACTTTTTATCACTAAAATTTAAAAAAATTAATTATAATCGATGCTTATATATTTATAAATTCACAGAAAATCAAAATCAAGAAGCCTCGCTTTCGTAAATAAAAATGGCAGCGCCCGTGGTCCGGAATGTGAGCATAACCTTGTCACAAATTTGTCGTAACTGTAGCCTGCTTCAAAGCCGAGCTGCATTATGCATTAAACGATATTCCTCTTCAAAGTCAACTGATTCTGAAAACAGAGGTATGTTAATGAACTAATGAACTGTCGTTCTCTTTGAAAGCAAATTGGTGTGAAGTTCCGGTAATATAGTAGTAGGACGTCGTAGGACGGCCTCTATGTACTTGGTCAGTTGAATTCCTATCGAATATTGCAATAAAAAAGAACCGAAGGAGAAAGATTTGTGCCGGAAGTAGGCGTCATATGAGCACAATTTTGAACTTCAAGCTTCTTGACACATCTTCATAACATATATCCCTATTTCTACAAGTATTTTCTGCTCAAAGTGCCAAAAGACCAAAATATTTTCTTACCATGCAGTCAGGAAATCTGCTTCAACTTAGCAGTCACTGCTCCACTCCTGTGTACTTCCAGCTAAAAATGACAAGGCGGCTTCATGTCTTACACCATTCGATGCATATGATGCACACTTCCAGCACAATCTTTTCTTTTTAGGTTCCCTTTATTATATTTAAAAAAAAGGCCCTCTAATAATCACATTGGTAAGTTATGTACTCCTACACATTTTTCCTTGGTCTAAGTGCTACGCACTCGATTGAAAACATATTGGTGATGATTGATTTTTGGTATGAGATCTAACCAGTGATGAATTGGCAAAAATGATAGAAATTAGAATGTTTTAAGACTTTTGGCATAATAGAAATTCAGTAGCACATATTGTGCCCATTTTATATTGCAGATACCTCTAAGAAAAATGAAGAAAAGAAAGAAAAAGATGTGTACATGCTTTATGATGAGTTTCCTTTTAGAAATGGACCCACAGGTAAGACTCATATGATTTTTTTTTCTGTCAGAAGATGATAGATCAAATTGTAACAATTTTGGTGTATTTTTATTCAGTGTTTAATTCAGAGTATAAGAAGTTGTTAAACTTGATGCTGATGAGAAAGATATAATTTACTGGAGAGTGTGTAATGCATTAACATTCTTTTAATATTTCTCACCACTAGGTTGGAAAGACAAAGACCCAGGTCCACTTTTTCTTAATCCAAAAGTTTACAACAGCCTAAGAAAGATGACAGGATTTGATTTGGAAAAGCTGTTCCCCCAAAGACCATATCCTAGGCATTTTAAACCCAAGTTCAGGATTGTGTCGGATGAGAAATTACAGAAGGTATACAGAAGTAGAATTGGAACTCTGCTCTAAAAGCTTAAGTAATCATACATGTATTTTGTAGATCTTGAAGGCTGACCAATTGAAATGTTGTTGTAAAAAACTCCTTGAAGCCTTTTCTCTTAGTGTGCCTTGTCAACATCAAAATTTTCATGCATAATGTTGTACTTTGAATTGCATTCAGGTTTAGCAGCTGTGAGCATCACAAATTGTGTGTATCTATGTGTGGTTTTAGTTTATTTTAATTATTCATTATTCTTTTACAACCCATTAAATTGAAATGTATGTAAATTGTAAATGTTTGTAACATGGCATGATTATGTTGCCTTAGAGCTCATACTCACAAACACTCTGCTGGAACTGTTGCTGAGTGCAATCAACTTCAATGAATGGCAATGAACTTCTTTTGTTTCCACTGTACTCGTGTAATCACCAGCTTTTTTTTTTTTTTCTTTCTTTTTTTTTTTTTTTTGTATTCTACTCGGTGCCAGGAGGAGACATATTGGTCTGTTAAACTGATTGTATTCAGCGAGAGTCCCCCATGGTGTCTGATCAATATACATGTACACGGTGTACTGATGGTGTCTGTTTATGTACCCCTTTACTTAAAATGCCAGAAAGCAGTGTTGCAACACGCAACACGCAAAATTAGCATGTACAATATATTTTATATATTTCAGTTGGAAGGAGGTAATATGTTCCGTGCACAGCAAAAACTGCAGATGCCTCCTGTAATGCTGCCAAGAACTGAAGAAAGCACTGTCATTTGCCATGACACATGCATTGCTGGGTTGTATAACTCCAAAATGGTGATCACTGATCTTATGGTGAACACAGGCAGCAGGGTGAGATTGTGTTGTTTTGTTTTGTTTTGATTTGCAAGTTAGCACCTAATAGAGTGGCATTCCATACACTGTGTGTATTGTGACACCTCAAACAATGTCTCAAAATTCTCTCTCTCTCTCTCTCTCTCTCTCTCTCTCTCTCTCTCTCTCTCTCATGACTGATTTAATTGTATTAGGTGAGACAGTACACACACACACACACACACGTAATTTGTGACATTGTGGAGAGAGAGAGGAATAAAAAGTATAGTGAATGATTACATGGCTACCAAAATGAAAAGGGAATTCTGGTTTATTCATTTTAAATCAAGACTACAAGTGGTTGGCACATTTGTGTTAAGGAGTAAGGATGTGAAGAAGTGCTTTGTAATGTATGCTATTTGTGATATTTACATTATGCGAAATAAGAGCATTCTTAAATAAATTTCATGCCTTTGAAAAAGAAATCGACATAGATACTCCCACTGGTCATTGAAAGTAGTAAGTTGAGAATGTGAAGTTTGATAATCAAAACTGCATAGGAAATGATGAAACTCAGATTTTGGAAGTCTTCAATTTACAGTACATGCTTTTTGTAAACCTGAATTTTTAAACATTCCAGGAGCGTATTATAGTTATACGAGAGCCCAATGGTGTTCTCCGAACCCCAACTTTACGAGAGCGTGACAGAATAACACAGGTTTACTTCCCTCGGCCAGGCAGGACCATGATGATGAGCCGCATGTTCTACCCTGAATATATGCAGGTAGGCCAGTCCCTGGCTCTGTTCAGGTGGAGTAATCATTAACTATTCTCTGGTGTGGTAGTCATTGACTATACCCAGATGTGGTAGTCATTGACTTAATGCAGGTAGGCCATTCCCTGACTCTGTTCAGGTGCGGTAATCATTAACTTTTCTTACCCTCTACCAGGGCGACTGATAGATTTTTCACAGATATTCACAGTTATGTCTCTCAATAGATAGATGGTCATTTTGGTCTGAAGTCACCCTGGTAGGTCTGGTAGTCATCGACTGCTGCATGTGGTAGTCATTGACTATACAGTTAGTCCAGTCACAGCCATTGTGCAGGTGTGGTAGTCACTGACTGTTCTCAGGTAAGGCAGTCATTGACTTTATGCAGGTGTGGCAGTCAGTTTCAGTTCCTCACATGTATTATTTGTACTTATACATTGATTTTTATCTATTTCATGTCCATTTATTCAATTATTTTTCTTCTGCTCTGTTTCAACTTATTTCAATGCTTTTGCCCATTTTGAAAATGTATGGTATATACTTAACATCAGTAAAGAAAAATGTATGGTAATTCCAGGGTCTTTTAGATAGGGATGAGCACCAATATTTACTGGACAGGGCATGCGTCCAGTTTGAGCCAGATGACCCCCAGTTTATCAGAGTAAGTGACACTAATCTTGATTGTCTCTGACTTTTGTTGCTTGAATAAACATGCTTTTATTAATAATCATTTTAAAATGTTTCCCATGAGAGTTTTTAGTGAGAAAAAAATGTTATGTTAGGTCCCCTTTATTTTACTGTGCTTGGTTCATTTCAGATTTGTCAAGAAGTTTATGACCATTTATATGAAACAAGAAAGTTTGACATTCTTCGCTCAACGCGTCACTTTGGCCCCATGGCTTTCTATTATGCATATTACGATAAGATTGAAAGGCTACTAGTAGACATGATTCAAAGAGAATTGTAAGTTATATTACATTTATAACTTTTACAAATACTGTTTGAATAAATTAACTTTACTTCTTTAGCTAAAGTATCTGTTCTACTGTTGTTATTGTGTGTAGTAAAGTATATTTTTACAAGACTTTTGTAAAAAGAATGAGAGAATTATATTTTAAATCAGGGAAAGTGATGGGTAAATGTGTAAGAGAGAAAGAGAAAAAGGAGAGAGAGAGAGAGAGAGAGAGAAGAAGAGTGAATGACAACATGAACTACTGCTAAAACTTGTGTAATATTCGTTCCTTGCAGTATTCAGGATGCTGGCAGTTTGGTAAAAGTGTTGAATGAAATCCATCCAGATGCAAAATGTGCGCAGATAGCTATGGACCTGACACCTGGTGCAACTGCTTTAGAACTTGTTAAAGTAAGCACCAAGACTTCCTTACAAAAAAAAAAAAAAAACTACATTGGAGTTATTTTACATTTTGAAATTTAAGAAAATTATAAGTATGTATTATAAGTATTCATTCATAGATATTTAAGTTAAATGTTTTAGGATTCAGACTTAAAACATAAAAGTAAAGAGGGAACAGTGAGGATTATTATAATCCTTTATACGATATAGTCAATAATATATATATATATATATATATATATATATATATATAACACCACCAGAATTAGATGTAACACCACTAAAATAAATAGTTTTTATATGTAAAAAGTCCAGTTTATATTTCAACAATTTTCCTTTAATAGCTAAGGTAAAAAAATTAAACCTGATTTCAAGTTCTGTGTTTGGGTTTTTGGGTTACTCGTGAAAAATTGCCCAAATTGCTTATGTTTTTAAGGATAGACAGTTCAGTGTTTGTGTGTATATAGTCAAACATCAACTTCTGATTTTTCATTTTTCTCTTTCTATCTAGGCTTACCTGGAAGCTAATTCAGAGCATAAACTTTTGGCTAAGGCTGTAGAAGATTATGAAAAATTGCTAGAACACAGACAAAAAGAAAGTGAAAGACGTGAAAGAGGTTTGAAAGGCCGATAGAGGGTACAACCTCAAGGAACGGGCTGCAAACTGAGGAAAAAAAGGCTAAATAGTATGGACATGCTATGTTTTGATTTAGTGAAAAGTTACGTATCCAGAAATTTCAACAAACCAATGTGATGGGTCCCAGAATTAATTGAATGTTTTGGATTTATTTAAAGATGCATTTGAAGTCACTTTTTTGCCACAAAAGCCGACCAGATGCCACCATATGGAGAAATGCCAAGGAACGTATTTTTTATAACCTGAATATTGTCTTTAAACAGTCTTTCTGCTTGCTTTCTGCTCTGTTTATAAACAGGCAGATATAAAGGTCAAATTTACAACCAAAAATTTGAGAAAGATTAATAGGTCAATTTTAACATTATACCGATTCTGTATATATTCTAATCACTGTGCATTACACAGATGCACTTAAACAACATGTTGCTGTAAATAAAATTGAAAATATGAACTTCTTACTTTAGACTTTTTACTATATTTGCCTTTCAGTTACTCATCAAAATGCCAGTTCAGTTGATGGCAGTCGGTGCTGGTTGCAACGCAGTCTGTTTTTGTGTTTAGATAAGAGTTTGACATCCAAGACATGTTACTACATTTAATGCAACTTTTGATTCTCAATTTAAATATTAAAAAGAAATAGGCAAAGAACTTTGCAAATGCAGGAAAAAGTAAAGAATTCGTTTTTCTCAAATGATCATTGGTTTCGTTACGTCGCAGTGCCACAAGCTGTAGTGGATGCTGTGGATGGCCTACTACACATTTGAGTGGATTATTTGTACTCTTCCACTGGCATTCATCCATTCTGGGTGCGCCCATAGCGATCAAATATGGCGACCCACTTGAAAGCTTTTCGCATAATCCCCTAATAGACACTGTATAAATGCCCCGCGGGGATTGTGCGGTAAGGTTTCAAGTGGGTCAGCAATATTTGATCTGCGTATGTGTTAGTTGTGAGTACGGCCTATGACTTAAAGAAAAATAGGAGCCTTCTAATGAACAGTTGCCTCCTGCAGCCTACGGTCCTGTAAAAAAAAATCGCAAACGCCAGAAAAGAAAGGGAATAGTCTGTTTCATTAATTTTGGTACGTCTACCAGGTGTACTTGATTCAAACTTAAAAGCCAAGTCTCTACCAGGCGAGTCCTGATTTTACAAAGAAGACATCCAGCCCATTCCCCTTCCCGTTTTTGAACGTCCTTCATGGTCTTATCTTCAGGCAGTATTCCCATTTCTCTGTACAACCCCGTCGAACGAAAAAAGTCACGTATTTCATTCAGCTTTTTCAAACTCCCCTCTTCGTCGATCTTAATGTTGTCGGATAACCTGTACTCAACGGAAATCACCCGGATGTCCAACTCCCGAAAGGGAATCATTTTGAGTATCTCGAGCTCTGGACCCTCAACGTCCAATGAGAAATAATCGATGATCTTTCTCCTCATTGCCAACATCAAGGAGTAAAAAGGAAAACACTGAACCCGCTGGGTTTTAACTGCTTTGTTTCTTTGGATAATCCGTTCGTGGGCTGAGTCGAATTTTTTATCCAGTCCGCCGAAGAGGCCCATGGGTTTGAAGTCCACTTTCTGCGTGCGGTTGGTGACGCCCAGACAAGAATTGATCTTGTACGCTTTGCGATGGCGACGATAGATCTCTTGCATGTAATCTGGATTCGCTTCTATCAGCAGTCCCGTCCAGCCTATAAAAAGAAGAAAATGGAAATACAAAAATTTGAAAACATTTTTCTTGAATTTTTTACCGCTCATTTTATTATGATCGTTTTATTTGCGTAGGAGGAGGCACAGTTTTGGTCATTTCTAATTTCAGTTTAACCAAGTGGGTTCCGTATCGATCACTCTGAGAGTAAAGTGGACAGTGTTGACGAAATTAAAGAAAAAATATATAGAAAATTTGGTTTTGTGTACACGATATCTTTAGATGAGACATGTGCGGATTTTACACTGAAAAATTTTCCAAAACAACTTCCAAATCAGTTATACTGGATTCCGAATGTATTACTCCAATGTCACCTAAGATATCTATACACAGTTGCAGAGAGGCCAAGCGCTGCGCAGGGAGAATGACATTCGTACCAGGCTGCGCTGATTTTGTTTAATTAATACAGAAACCGGTGTGAATATTGTTGAGTACCATCGAGTTCCCGCGTCCATTAAAGGCGCACGCCCGCAGCACAATGAGAACATTGCCTTCCAGCATATTTCAACACATTATATTGAGAGTTCATAATGCAGAACCTCAATAGTTTCCCTTAAGCTACCCTCAGTATAGCGAGACTTTGCTGCATTTGGACAGAAAAATGAAACTCGCGGAAGCCATGCCAGTGCGTTTAAGCAACATCCATCAAAAGATGATGCGTAAGATGAAATCATTGACTTTCTGTAAAAAATAACCCCTGGCTTGCAGCCTTACTACTCGTCAAACTAGTGTTTCTACATAGCTTGTGATCTTCATCTGGTTTCGATAGGAAAATCATCTTTTCGCATATCTTCATGTTCAGTGCGATGTACAAGATTGGATATATTTTCTCAGATTCCCCGTGTGAGATTCCAATCACGGACTGCTTTATTTACATGTTATAATTTGAATATTAATCAAATGCACAAAAGCGGCGCAGGTGCAATAAAAAGGGGCTTGACCTTTGCTGTAAGTGGTGGATACACTCATAAACTACTCACAATATTCACATATTCTTTGAAGGAAACTGGTTAATATATAAATATACCTCTGTAGCGCTCAAAGTACAGCGTGTTTGAAAAAGTCTCTCCGTCAGCGGCTCCACACTCCACAAAAAAACCGCCGCGTTTTCCCAACAACAATTTGTCTACGAAGCCAGACTGCCCAAACTGAGAGTAGTCCAAGGGGTCCAGAACGTGGTTATTTCCCCCCTTATCGCTGTCTAACTGGTACGGCAAGCGCGACGGTCCTACGAGCCATTTTTCCCTTATTAATTTCAACAGGCGCGGGTTGTCCATTTCGGTTTCCCCGTTTAAGAGTTCATCGATGTCGTCCTCTGAAAAATAGTTCTCTTTCTCTTGGACTTCCGTTAGTTTGTTTCTGGGTGCTTCCCCTCTTGTTTTGGGGGCAAAATGCATGTATGTATATACTATTACAATGACTACAAGTATCGCTGTAATTTTTCCGTAGCGAAGACTTCTATTACACTTGTAAAGCATGTTTTGTTATAACGTCCTGTCTCTAAGCCTTAGCCTGTCGTGAGCTACGGTAGATATATTGGGGTGCAGATTGGCTTCTAACGGTAATTTCTCCGATATTTTTTATGCGGAGCTGATCCTCAGGCAAAACATAAACCAAATAGGATATAAACTACATCTAGATCTATACAAATAATGAATGTCAAATATGCAGTGAATATGGATACTTCAGACACCTTTAATTGCTTCATCAGGATTTTCATGTAGTGTGAAACGGGATGCGGGGGGTGGGGGGTGGGGGGGTGATATTTGGTGGGGATACCAACATGTGACGTCAGCAAAACTTTCCCTGGGCATTGACCACTTTTGAATAATTCCATGGTTTTACCAAACACGTCCATAAATTTCAATTTTAACGTAGTTCATGAAAACATATTTTAGAAAACGTTAAAATATCCAATATTTCTTTATTTGTCAATTTAACAAATATATTCAATATTTCTTTTATAATTATCATTTTTAGTATTGTAAGTGCACCATCCAACTTCCAATATCCAATATTTATTATTTTACATATTAAATTTTGGTCGACTTCGTTTTGTTCGACCGCACTTTTCGTTTCTTTTTAAATGGAAACAAAGAAAAATATACGTGATTTTGGCAGTCTGAAATTACATGAACATTCAGAAAACCTGACATCTTGGACCCATCATACAATGACAATACGCAGGACCCAAACGTAACGTGCGTTATGCCAAAACAGGTACATCTTTTTAAGTGATACACAAGAATTAAAAGCAGCAAATTTAAGTTTGTTCTGCAAAGCTTATGTCCAAACCATATTGAAATAATTAACTCTAAATTGGGCCTAATGAATATAAAAATAATCGCGTGAAGGGGAAGTGAAAACGAAGGAGTGACACGAGAAAACTTTTTAAAATATTACCCTTTCCAGCTGCTATTTCCAAATTCGCCCTCTTGCAAATGGTCGGTTTCACATTGAAAAAACTGTCAAAAATTATACCTTCTAAACCATCATATCTGTCAAATTTGTGTTTTTGAATATGTGAAATTTGTGAAATCAAAATAATTGTTTGGGTGTCCCTTAAAAGTTTTCAAAATTTCTTTGAACGAAATTCAATTCTTTTCATTTGGCAGTTATCCGCAACACTCGCATCTGAGACGCACTGGTCGAGCAATATGATTTGTGAGTAGGACGGGAGTAGGAGATATCCCCCCCTTTTTTTTTTTTTTAGGAAAATTCGATTTCGGCTCGAAAATCCCAGATAGGATAACTTGATCTGATGTCTTTTAGTTACATGTTCTCAGCTCTTTTTTCTGTCTTACTTGTTTTTATACTTTGATTTAGTTTGAGATAAGAATTACCCCAATGACAAAAATGCAACATCTATCTGCTTGACGCGGTAATCAGTTACCATTTGCTATATCGTGACCTTGACCGACCTAGATTCGCGACCTCGCCATTGTTACTCCAAAAGTGGCACTGTTAGTGCTTTTAGACCTCGCATAGCTATATTTAACATCACTCAAAATAATTTGCTCTAGAATTGAGTCAAACGTCCAATGACGGTCAAAATGGCAGACGACAACTTCATTCCGATTATAACTACGGCAATTAATAGGAAGAAGCGTTTAACCCGCCTAATTCAGGTCCTTGGTGGCGGGGACAGCCCGCTTGAGGCCTTCGAGCTCGCGCTGGGGAGAGACTACAGGCTTTTCAGGAAAGTCATTAACAACGTGTATACCATGTGCGAGATGATGGACGAGTTTGCCTTTGGCAAGGTAGGGACAGAGACGGTAGACGGACGGCAAGTGACGGGAATGGGGTAATGAATGGGGGAAGGGGGGGGGGGATGAGAGGCGCACGCGTTTTATGAAGGGAGAGGGGATGTGAACCGGATTACAAGTACCAGCTAGTGAAGGGATGGTGAAAGCTTACTAGTAAAAGCTAGGGGGTGGGGTGGGAAGAGGAGATGTGGGGGGGGGGGGGAGAGTCAAAGATCTATATCAATTAGAGTGTAATACCATATTGAAAATGTTTCATTGAACAACTGATGCCAATGCATACAGGGTAGTAAGACTAGGTGCAATTACTAGTATATAAAGATATTTACTTTGGGTTTGGTCAGTATGTTATTTTGCAACCTTCAGAAAAGTGATATTGACCTTCGCTAAATCTCAATTGATGTTTTATACAAGGTCTGTAATAGAATTTCTCCTGACTTTCATAAAAAATTGATATATTGACCCAGGCATAAACATTTTTATCTTCTCAGAGGGTGGCAGACCTACATAAGATAGACATGTTAAAGCTGATGTGGGATTGCAACATTTGGGGGTTCCTGCAACGTCTTCTCAGCTTACCTGTCCTGCAGGCTAAAGACACATCGGCAGAGAAGGACCGAGAGGAGGAAAAGAACCCCTGGTTGCCGTGGAAATCTGTGTATTTTAGCTCCTTAAACGTGCTGTCTCATCTCACAGCCACTCTTTGTTCTCACAACAACGACATGATTAAAACGATAGTGGACACTGATATCATAGAACTGGTGATGAACAAGTTTCTTACAGGTGGGTATATTTGGGTACAGTTGCAGGCCCGTAGCCAGGGGGGGTTCGGGGGGTTCGAAAGAACCACCCTTTTTGCTGGGAAAAGGTCCACTCTGGGTAAAATTTGACCTATGTACTTGTACTTTCATGGTAAAAGGTCCACTTTTTCAGAAAACGCCCCCCCCCCCTCTGAAATTGCTGGCTACGGGCCAGAGTTGGGTACAATTATAATTTAGAATATATTGAGAAATATAGTACATATATTTGAAATGTGAACACTTCTTTATGTTATAAGTTATAAGGGGGATTTAAGTTAAATGTTTTCAGTAATCTGGTAGTAGTAGTAGTAGATTTTTTTAACAATTCTAAAGATTTTCTTCAGTGAGAGCAGATGCCTGTATAGTATATTTGTCAAATTGCTTTAAAATTTATTTTGAATTCTGTTGATTTGACTCAAAAAATCTGAAAAGAAAAGATTTTCAAACTAGTAGCCCAGTGTACATCTAGTTCAGATAATTAATAATGTTAAGCATATGTTATTACAATCTGCTGGTAGCATATAATTATTATGGTATTTTGATTGTTAAGGTGTAGTGATTCTAAGATGTGTTTGATCCTGTATATTTCTTCTTCTAGGGGACTTCTGTGTCCTTGCCTCCTGCGCTGCACTTCCCTTAATTCGTTTCCTGACCGAGCAATCCCAGGAAGCACGTGAACGTTTCTCGTTTCAAAGTGGTATAGAAAAACTGACCAGATTCCTCCACAAGGATGACTGGACTAAGGAAGTGGTGGCGTGGTACCATAGAGGGCTGGAGGAATGGGAAGAGAGGGCCGTACTGTCACGGCCCGGAGGACTGTGTCTTGTCACCTTTATGCCATTTTTCCCAAAACAGGACCCCAAAGCAAATGTGGAAGAGAAAATGAGAATGCGGTATATTGTGTCATGGGGAAGGGTGACACAGGAGAGAGCTGCGGACATTTGTTATCATGTAGGTTTCTATCTATCTGGGCTAATTGTGTCATGCATTCCTGCACTACTGAGATTTTTCCGACTGTCAGTGGAATCTCAACTATTTGGGAGGCAAAAATTCTTCTTACCCTGTGCATGGGTTGTATCTGTTGGACTAATGGTGGCACATGTTAAATAACAGGCTTAGCCTGTAGCGACAGAACCTAAAACAACAGTCAGAAGGAACTAAAACGAAATAATCAATAAATTTTATAAACAGAAACACATCTGAAAGTTTTCAGGATTATGTCCTATTTCAATATTTTCAGTCTTCCAATGTTTTTTTTTTTTTTTTTTTTGAAATTTTAAGCTATGTTTTCAGGATTTTTACAATTTTCATCCATGGAAACATGACCGGTGTTCTCTTTTTTTCTTTCCAGCTTGGTCAAACCAATGACCGTTTCCGCCTGTTGATAATGAAGAATGGCAAGTTGTTAAGAGTGAGTGGACAATGGACAGTAATAGTTTGTCTGTACAACCAATCAAATCCTGGGTCTTAATTGTTGATTAATATTTTATTATTTGCATATTATTAAAATAATAATAAATAAATAAATAATAATAATAATAATAATAATATTTTGGTGATATTTCAGTCTGTGTTACGATGGTATCGAACCCCAGCAATTGTTCCTGATGATGTGGACTTGTTGTGGAAGGTTGCCAAGGCGATGAGTGCCCTAGCAACCACAGAGGAGATTGCCCTGAAACTAATAAATGACTACAAATTGTTGAGACATTTAGAAGTACTTGGTAAGTGGAGACATCAGGATTTCTGTGTGTGCACATATAGATAATCTTAATTTGTCAGAGTTGGTGACCCTGGTGTAACACCTTATTGCTGCTGTTATACTTATTTATTTATTTATTTATTTATTTATTTATTTATTTATTTATTTATTTATTTATTTATTTATTTATTTATTTTCAAATACAGCTTGATGAAAAAAAAAGATATCAGGATTCAGAAAAATTGATTGATCATTTAGAGATCTTTTGTCACTAACTGTTGACAGTTTCCACTTATCGACTAGGGTCCTTTTTAGATAGTGTTATACATAGCAACAGTCAGTTTGTACTGGTACGCTTTGAGTGTTTGACAGCCTGGCTATTACATAGGAGAGAGTCATCTAAACAGAGCCCTCCCAGTGCTTGACATGACTTTTTATTAAAGTTTTTATCATTTATAATTAAACAGCAAAACCCTGTGATGCTTAATTGCATGGTAGCACCTCTCAAAGTTAACTGATACAGACTGCAGGGCTAACAGTAACTTCTCAATACATGTATGAGAAAGGCCTGTGAATCTATTTGAAAAGAGCCTATGAATCGATATGAAAAGGGCCTGTGAATCTATATAAAAAAGGGCCTTTAAATCTATGTAAAAAGGGTCTGTAAATCTATATGTAAAGAGCCTGTGAATCTATATGAAAAAGAGCTTTTAAATCTATGTGAAAAGGGTCTGTAAATCTATATGTAAAGAGCCTGTGAATCTATATGTAAAGGGCTTGTAAGGCTATTTGTCAGGTATTATTGAAGACCCAATGAAGTAATCATTTACCCCAGAAATGATGTACAATGTCCATTCCAGTGTACTGTCCGTCAGGGGAGATCCTCCAAAATGTCCTGCAGTGTGTGCTAAGTATTGTGATGCACAGAGGAAAGGGGAGGACTAAGATTGCTGAAAACGAGGTGATCTCTCTTCTCTCTCTCTCTCTCATCTAGGTAAATTTAGATTTTCTGTTCAATGGCAATATCCTACAGAAGTAATATAATTACATTGAATGTATAAAAATGCCAAGAGGGATGTTTACTGAATGATGTTGTATAATGTTGTGTTTATACTTTCAGGCGATTTTAAAAGCTGTCATTTCTTATTGTGGATCTTTTGAGAAAAAGGTACAAAATATTGATAAAATTACTTCACAAAATATACTTTAGTTAGATGAAAAGTAGTAAGAAATGAACTTTATAAGAAATATACCACAAGGAAATTAAATTTTCAAGATGTTGAGTGGAAGATGATTAGATTAATAAGAAATTAAAACGATTTGATGCCAGAAAATGCATGTTACGCTGTGTAACACATACAGAAATTGTATTGGTGAAGATGGACACAACGTCATTGTGCTGTCTCACCTAACAGAATGTGCCTTGATCAGTTGTGATTATAATTTTATTTTATTATTTATTGTGTAGTTTTCATCAAGTGAAGATAAATTATATGAAAGAATGAATGATGAGAATAAAAAGGCGTGACATAAGGAGATCAATTAAACAAATAGGATAATGATAATAATTATTGTAAGTCACTGACTGATAAAAGTTTGGATATATATTTGCAGATGATGTTTGAAAATTTAAATCTCTGTATTTTCTTTCAGCTTGTTGTCCCCAGTTTAGCCATCATGCAACATCTGACCGAAGGTCAGACAGGGCTGAATATTCTAAAGGCAGGATTTGGACTCAAAGAAATAGTCCTCATCAATGACTACCATGACTCTGTGAGTAAACAGTCTTCTCTTTCCTTTCTCTTTGTATTTTAGGTGCAATTTGTTAAAAACTTGATTATCATGGATAAATGTTTGCAGGATTATGCAAGATTTCAGGATTTTCAGTCTTCTTCTTGATCTATTTTTTCGTATGTTCAAAACGTGGTGAGAAATTGCGAGCCACATTTTCAGGATTTTCAGTTTTTATTGTTTTCAACCATGTCAGATTAGATATTGATCGTGAAAGAAGAAATTTTGAAAAAGAAATTCATGGCTGATGATATGCTAGATCAGCCTTAGGAATATGTGGTCTGAACAGTGCATGATCACCAGTTTTATTGGGAACACTAGATTAAGATGAGAGTGAACAACTGTAATGTCTTCAAAACAGAATTTGTTTGGCTCTTGGTTCGAAAATATTCCTAAAATGCTGTTATCTGTGTGAAAACACATTGTAATTGTTTTTATAATTAAGAAATTAGGAAGTTTGTCTGTTTGAAGTTTTTGCTTTCTGTTTTTGTAAATGACAAAAATATTCAACAAAATTGTACAAAATATTATGGGATGGATAGAACTTAATTTTATTGAAACAGTGAACAAATAAGCCACTCAGTTAAGGCTTAGAATTACACAGTAGCTATCAAGCATTGTTTGCGTGGACTAGGAAAACTTCAACATTCATTATAATGAGAAATATGAGGCACACACATCATCAAATGCACACTGAGAAGTGACCATTTCTTTTAAGTTTGGGTACCATGGTGTATAACAGTGACACACACATTCTTCATTTCACGTTGTGAAGTGATAGTTTCATTAGAATTTGTATGGTTTGGGTGCCATACAATAAAACGATGACAAACATAAAAATAACTTGCACTCAGTAGATGCTCATTGTATGTACATTATGGAATTGCCTGTACATTTTCTTCCAGTAGCTATCAGCAATTGGATTTGCCTCTACATGTCACAATTGGCAGGTTACATTTCACCATTGACTGAATGAAACACAATAAGTTACGCAATATATCTCAGTATAATCTTATCTAATTTTTTTTTTCATAGAAATATAAAACTACAACTAGTTTTCATTTCATGTTATTGTTTTTGTTGAAAGGTCTTCATTATTCCACACAACCATAAATAGCATCAGCCCCCTCTTGTGATAGTTGCACATCCTGTTGAAAAAAAAAACATGAAAATTGCTCCATGTACTGGAGTACTTTATACCAGTTGTCAAATGGTTTTACATCATACACAGCAATCATCATAATAATAATAATTATAATTATTATTTGTGATAGTTTTCATTTCCTAATATGTTGAAAAGTGTCACCTTAAGACATTCCGTCTACATCGATGATTGAACAGATTTGTGCTTTATAAAAGTAGATATTGATATGTTGAATTTTGTCTGGCAGTTTAATTACATGTATATTGTCACATGTCATAACTCGTAATGGACACAAAATATTTCATTATATATCAGTACAAAGACTCACATATACTATTCCAGCCTAAACATATAAAGATTCATCCATAGCTTAGTCTGATATTTTGATGTTTACTCAACAAGAAAAGTAAATTGACTCATGTTCTGGCAGTGTTGTTTTCCATTTCATTAGGCAGGGAAATGCCAATAATTTGTGTCAGAGGGCCAATAACGGCCATTAGCTTAGCCATGCCTTATTGACCAACCGCTGGGAGATTAGGCCATTAGTGGTGGTTATATCAATATTCTATAATCTACAGGGCTGGTCACTATTAATGTCCATGTGATTCAGGCCACTAAGGGACCATTCCCAGACCCTATCATATGAACTGGATTGATATCTCTGAGGAGATTTTTGCTAAATTGCAATCAACTTAAACAGCTGAGATGTCTGTCACGCCTACTGAAGCGCAGGGTGGGGGGTTACCACAAAAGAAAAATTAAATAAGATAATTTAACTCTCCCGCTATGGCAATTTTCAGTGTTAATGGGTATAATTGGGTCTACAGACAAAAGTTACACTTGTTTTTTCTGACCAAATCAGCTAAAAGATATTAATTAAGGGATTTCACATGCACTATGTGCTCTGCCTTAAAGGGATAATAACTCTTCGTATGAGATCTATATTTCACAATAAAAACATTGTGAATAACTCATAGAAATGTAATATATTCTGTTTTACCACAAAAACGGCAGTTATAGCTATTTTTTCTGATATCTGAGCTTGTCTTTAGACCACGTGACCTCCATTGATGGCTATACTGTGTTAAAATCTCTTAAGAGATTTTAACAAAAAACCAAACTTTTTAGAAAAAAACCAGGGACTAACTCTGAATGTAAAAATGGATTCATTTACCATTGGTAAGTATGGGAAAATTGTTGTTTACTCCAGGAAAATTCATTTTTTGGCCGAAACGAAGAGTTATTATACCTTTAAGCTTGAAAAGCCTATATAATCTGGTGGACTGGGAATGTCAGGTAATTAGTCAGTATCCAGAATAAGTTAATCTAGCTGTGAACATGGCCTTACTTACAAAGCTGGCTAATGCAGACATTAAGAAAAAAATGACAGATTTTATATGTGAGCGTTAATAAAATGGGAATTAACACAGATTGGGTGAAAAATGATGTGCAGAACTTTCCCTTGGAACACTATACAACACTTAAGCTACTGGTGAATGTACATATGTTATAGATTACACAGTGTACAAGTGACGCTGTACATTGGACATATTAAAATTTATACACTCTGTACATTGTACATATTAAACCAGATATTTGTACCAGTAGAAAAAGATTGCTTTACAATGTTGCTGAATAGGAAAAAATACAAAAGGCCCCAAGGCTGAACAAGTTGAACTTGTTGACCTCAAAAATCAGTCGTATTCCAGAATCAATGGAATCAGTAGGATTGTGGTTTCCTTGTTCTCACATACGTGGTTGAAAACATCTGGGAAAATAACATTTTGATGGTACTTGGATAAGTGAGAGAGCAATTCAAAAAAGCTAATCCTGCCATATCTGCCAATGCACACAGTGATGCTATACGTAAGCAGCGGGGTCTTCTATACTGCTAACATGGGGTCCATTGTTTGATACAGTGTTATCATCATGGGTATTATTTGTGTCTGAGGTCAAGGCCATTGCCTCTTTTTCATCTGCATTGGCATCAATCTGTTTCTTGTCTTCCTGTGACTTCTTCCATCTCCAGTAAAGCCAAGCTGCAAAAACCACGATTGAAACCACTCCGATAATCGTACAGAGTGAGATGACACTGCTGGGGTGCATGATTGGTAATGTGCGTGCCTTGATGCATTCCGTAAATGTTTGCATGTAGGTTGTATTGACCGTAATGCGTGCCTCTGCCAACACACACACGTCGTAGTTGTGGTCCGTGGCAAGGTCTTGTATTTTGTAAAGCTTCAACTCCTTGGCATGCTCACTAGTCACCAAACGTTTGAGGCCGTCATCTTTGCTGTATTGAATCTTATAGCCCGTTATCGAGAGATTGAAATCTTGAGGAAGAACGGTGGTCTTCCATTTGATTGTGATGGAGTCTGTGGAACTTCTTACCCATCTGATATGAAGGGCAACCGGAGACTTCATTTTCATATCTGTATTATTGAATGCTGAATCGCTTCCTGTGTTTGATTGGTCGAGTTTTGAACTCTGACCTTTGACCTTGGGGTCATTTTCAACTGAGGAATCTGGGAAGTTTTCATTAGGCATCAATGTAGTTGCAGTGCTGGAAGCCATTTTGTAATTTATTTCCTGAGAAGTAACATTGTCGCACAACACGATAAAAATGATTCCCAGGAAAGTTACATCCAGTAGAGCTGCCATAATTCTGTGCACAACTTGAATTTGCATCTTCTGTCTCCTTTGATATTTCATTCAAACTTTTCCTGCTATGAATAATACTGTCCCTTCTCTTGTCTTCCTTGTTTGAACTTTGAATAACTCTTTTATTGCTTGTGTGGAAGTCTTGCTGACTCTTCTTCTGAAATATAGAAATAAAATTAATTAAAATTGAAATATGTTATACATTATTTGTTAACCCGTACATTTGTAAATATTTTTTCAGACAGAAATTATTCTGCTTGCCTTTTGAATGAATGAATGCTGTGAATAAGTTTTAATTTTCTTATGTAGTCTATGCCATTAACCACACCATTTGCACAGATGCAGTTTTATCTGATTACACCATAAGTAGGATTTATTCTGCATTTGTGCCGCACATTTGCTAAGCCCATAAGCCCAAATGGCATTAGTTTATTTCATATGAACCAGTTATTTTAACTGTTACAGCTATTAAAGTACACCAACCAGTCTGGAAAGACATCTGCATGCCTTCCTTGTTGGAAATGTAAGCTGTCGTTTAAATTACAATGCAATGTATCAGCAATGCTGTGTCTACAGCTTGTATGAATGTTTTACAAATTAGACATTTATCGTATCCAATTGGTTTATACAGATTTAGAAAAGAATATGTTTTCTTGAGCTCACTGGAAAGAAACTTGATTAATGCTACTCAAAAGGTTTATCTTGTATATACAATTAGTTTATGTATTTATTAATTATTAGTGCTTGAAAACAGGTTCTCCTCTCTCTCTCTCTCTCTCTCTCTCTCTCTCTCTCTCTCTCTCTGGACATTTGGTTGGCTTATGAATAGAAAGATCCATTCCAACCCTGCCAATGAGACATTTGAGGCTAATAATACATTCGTCAATTGATTGCATTTGGCTGCAAAATAAAGGCAACTCTAGGAATTCTAGTGATTTTGTGCAATAAACTGGAATGTCCGTTTAACTATTGATGGTTGCCATTTCAACATACATGGACTCCTGTGTGGCCTTTTCAGGGAAAGTCTCGGGGGGTTCACTGTGACCTTTGCGGGAATCTTCAGGAAAGTGTCTTTTTGGTTCCCACTTGGCTAGTAAGAAAATGGACATTGTCCGTCTTTCGGTCCACCGACAGTTCTATTCCCTTCAATAAATCCGTAATTCTATGTTAAAACTATCTGGTGTGTGTGTGTTTCTGTGTGTGTGTGTGTGTGTGCGCGCACATGCAAATATGTGAGACCTGGCACTCTTTCCTTCAGTATATTCAATATTCACCCCCTAGTGCTCAACTTTGTGTTTAACCAAGCTCTTATTCTACAAGTTATATTATTTAGCCCTTTATAAGGTATATTATTTCTCCTTTTATAGATTGTATTTAGCCTTCTTTAAAGTTATATTATTTAGCCCTTAAAGGTTTTAATATTAAGCCTTTTTTAAAAGTTACATTATTTTGCCTTTTATAAGTTATATTATGTAGCCTTTTGCAAGTTATATTATTTAGCCTTTAAATTATAATTTATCCTTTTGGTCACAAGCAGCATGTACATTGCAAACTATTCGTGGAAAAAGCACAGGTGTGAAGTATACACAAGAGGTTGTCACCTGAAAACAGCCTTTGACGTGATGACGCCAGGGTGGCTTTCTGCCTAGCTTTGAAAACACCTATCTGATGGTTTTTATGCTAGTAACAATAGAATACATTAGAATACATTAACTGGGGTAGCGCTTACACTGGTCAATTTAGCCAAATGCTAAAACTAACTTAAATTGGCTAAAGAAAAAGGGTTTGATTTGACTTGTTTTAGTCAAATTATAATAATTTTGATAGCAAATTGACAAAAAAGTGGTGATTTGGCTATTAAAATGAAAAAAAATTGCTAACGCTACCCCAGATTAAAAAATATCAGAACTGCTTAGAATTTAAGTGTGAATAGTTAACCAGCAATCCTCAAATATGCTCTGCCTATTCATCGTTATTCTTTTTCAAAAATCCTTTCTCTCAGTTTTTATGTACACCAATTTTGCGACATGAGATCTGCAGGGAAATACGCATACACACATGCATGCACGCACACACACATACACACACACACCTATCTTCCAGACATACCTTTGTCAATGACCTCCAATATCTTTCTGAGGCACATCTTTAGAGGTCAACATTTACCAATTAACTGTGGCAAATCCAGAGTTATTTTCTGACAGTCTTCCAAACTATCTTTGTAGATTCATGGTCCAATTTTGACCATCTTCCAGCAGAAAAAAATTTATACCCTACATTGTAAACTTGAAAATCTGACTGTCTTCCCGAAGACCCAGAATTTGGCCTCAATCTGCCCCTGGTTTACCCCAAACCTTGGGCAGATCGTCCAGCCCTTGTGGCGCCAGGCGTGAACGCACATCAAGTAAATGACCGCACGCACTCTGCAGGTAATTACCAGGTATTACCACTTGATATAGTTGCCGTCAATTAACACATGTACTCAATTGATTTCAGCATAGAAGGGTTGGTTGATCAATTATAACGCTGAAGAAGTTGAAGCCTCTTATCAANTCTTGACATCTTGATAATCTGTCTCTGTCATGAGTAAATGCTGAAAATGTCACATTTTACGTTAATATTACTGAACTACTGATAAATGCTTATCTCACTATTTCTGACACATGTCAGAATTTCCCATTATGAATTTACTTAAAAACCTTCATCTGGCAAGATGTGGCCTAAGTTTCTCAAGTTCAAATAAATTCTTACCGAATCTCATGAAGTGAGACTGAATATAAGTTTCAATGTGACATATGGTGCCATTTATCTTTCTTTGATATCATCTCTCTTGGTGGATTTGCTCTTTCTCATTATGACATATTCCTAAGGTCTCCTTTAGTTTGGCTCTGATTTTCTTTCTGAGATTGCTCTAAAAAACTCACCTCAGCCTTTTCCAGGAACTAGAATAATGATGATGATTGCCACGAGTTTCCAATAGGCTGTTAAACTCAGGGTCGTTGGAGGTCAATTACTTCATTGGCTGCGCATTAATATTTAATCACTGTTGAATAATATTGAAATGCCACGAAGGGGGCTATATGTTTACATACCTATTACAAGTATTCAATATCTTTGGTATAGAAGTTAAGTCATTTATATTGGGTGTGTTTGCAGATCTTATATTATTATGTATTGATATCTGGGGATGTGTAAATTGGGTACATATTGATGTGCGTTAGGTCTATTTAAATTTGGAACTCCTAAATGATTCTGACTTGTTTTGATTACAAGGTTGTTGATTTTTAGTCGTTCATAAGAGATTCTTATTTGAGACCAACTCTATGTTCAGAATTTGCTCCTAATTTTTTTTTCTTCAGAGTAACGAAAATAAGACACAAAAAATCAATTTAGGGGAAATTAATTGATTTTTGTTGTAATCTAGTGAGTAATTACCCTACTAGAGCAGTGTCAACACAAATTAATTTGGCCTCCAGTGACAGCTGACATTTCCTTACCACAGAACACATAAAATGCTGGCATTGGCAGTTACCAGGATTTGTGCTACACAGATGATTTTTTTTTTTTTTTTTTTTTATTAAATAAAAAATCTGATTTTTTTGTGGGCGGTTTTCTACCTGAAGTGTTCCCTTGATGGACACAGAGACATTTTTAATTTTTTTTTTATTGACGCCAAAATAAAGTTTGGTAACACCCTGAGTTTCTCCTTCCTCTCTCCCGTAATGTTATTCTGAACAGGCTCTATACATAGGGATATCATTCTGAAAAAATGTTATCCTGTAGAGTGGAATTTTATACATATATCACAGACACACAAGCATTATTTGTCTAACGTGTTATAATATGGACAGTCAGAGGCTTTAAATTAGAGAATGAAAAATCATGAGACAACCCACTCAGAATTCAAGTGTGTCTGGCCCACACCCCCTGGGATCTCTGGGTATCAGTAAATGAGATCTATGGAAATACAAGACTTATCAATGCAATTGTATAATTAGTACCGTCTCATCGGCCTTAGCCAGACTACAACTACCCTCTACCAGGACCACGGAGATTTTTTTTTTTTCACAAGATATTCATGCATATTTCACATGCTGTTCCCTAGCTGTGTACATTTCCGGACTGCACTGGGAGGATTTTTGTGCAGCGAGACATTGTCGCTCAGCAGATCTATTGACTGTGGCCTTGATATGGGTTGTATTACCAGTCATTTTCGTCTTGCCACAGTGTAGAATAACCTTGCATTTCCGTGAGCATGGCAAATGAATGACGGTTATTATTCCTGAGATTTCTTTTTTTTTATTTTCATCTGGGGTAGATTTACCTAATTTTCCTTGAGGATGGCAAAAACAGGAAATATTAATGTTACAATTCTAAAGATATTTTCTATTCATGGTTTGGTGTAAATTTACTAGTTCCTTGAATTTCCTTGAGCATGGCAAATGCAGGAAATATTAATGTTACAATTCTTAAGAATTCTATTTATGATTAGGTGTAAATTTGTCTTGTGACCATGGCAAATACAGGGAATATTAATGTTATAATTCTTAAGATTTCTATTCTTGATTTGGTGTAGATTTACCTTGAATTTTATTGAGCATAAGCAAATAGAAGAACATTGCAATTCTTCTTCTGATAAATCTTTTTAAAACTAATCTTTTCTCAGCTGGGCGTAGAATTACCTTGAAATTCCATGTGCTTGATAAATGCAGGAAAAAAACACCTCTTCTTAATAACTCTCTCCTTTGGCCTTGTGTAGAATTACCTTTACTTTCTTTTGGTATATTTCCAAGAATTTCTACTGGTAGATTTCCAACAATTACCTGAGTATCATCAGAAATACAACACCATGTAGACCTGTTTTGACCTTCACGAGGCGGAGAGCACAAAAAAGCTGGTGACTATCAGGTGTGGATGTATCCATTTCCTCCAGTTCCCCTACTTTATGCCTTACGTTGTATTGTTTGTATTGTATAACAGTAAATGCTCATGAAATTCCAACAAAATAAATTAATACATTTAATACAAAACATTGTTATGAAAGTAGTTCTCAGAAATGTAATTTGAAAATTTTGAAGATAGTCACGGCTTTTTTTTTTTTTTTTTTTGGTATAACTAGAAATTATAAATTAAAAAAATCAATAAGGAGTATGAAATTTTAAAATGATTACCGTAGATGTTGTGAATGTGACTGCGGCCTCACTGTTATTCAGTAGTTTATGGTATGTTAAGAGTGTACAAAAAATAGCATGACAAATGCCATAAATATGCAGACAGGCCGTAATTCTCTTTAAAACAAAACTGCCAGTACGAGACCAAAAATGTGGTCACATTTGGCAAAATCAAAGTAGAAAGAAAGGAAAAAGCTGCAAAAATGCATGTAAATGCATTCACGCTGTATTTTCAGTTAGTTTGCTTCTTTGACACGTTGTATTTGACATACTTAAAATTCATCAGCTTGGCATACTAGTATATATGCCCAATCTTCTCTCTCTCTCTCTCTCTCTCACACACACACACACACACACACACACACACACACACACACACTATGAACAAGTGGCTCTGCACCTGCTTAACATCTCGTTATTTCCTATATTTGAAAAAAAAAGAAAAATACAAATGCTATGAGTATAACAAGTATATCATTGTAGAGTGCCCATGAATATTGATTTGTTTTAAATGAGCTGTTAACTCTCTGGATTCTTTAGTGTAATAAACACCAAAAACCAAATGACAGCTACTTTTTTGTCATTCTGTTCCTCTTACTACCTTAAAAATGTATGTGTGATATTGAATGTGAAGTTGCTAATTAGGTTTACTTTATTGACACCCATCTTTTCAGTGTTTTGTGTTCTGTTGTAAAGTGTCTTACAGCTTCCTCAGGTGCCTAGACAATGTGGCATGTTAAAGATACACGTCAAGTGATGTTGCATGTGAAAACATCTATACCATTCTCCAATATCTATTGTTTCCCTCTCTCTCTCTCTCTCTCTCTCTCTATATATATATATATATAGTGCAAAAGTGTTGTTGGACCCAATAATATTATGGAAAGCTTGGCAAATGGCTAATTTGTCAAAGAATTGGCATCAACCTTGTGACACGCTAGACAACAGCAAGGGCTTAAGTCGGCATTTCCTCTTCCAGGAATGGATTTTTGATCACAGCGGTGTCAAACTCAGATGGAAATCTAGTTCTCTTAATAAATATGCAAAAGGGGATTATTTTCACAAAAGCATTATTACCAGGATTATTCAATTTAGCTAACAGACAGACTGGTAATTGATATGTTTTATATGTTTACTGGACATTTTATGTTATTATTCTAATTTATTTATTGTTATGAAAAAAGAATGTGGAAGGGAGGATTTCATGTGTACAAAACATAAAATCCAAGGATTTGGGTGATTTCATAGATACAATTATTTTACCACAAAAGATGGTTGTCATGTCACCACAACTGCACAAAGTCGATCAACTTGGCATTTATGAAGGAAATATATCTTCCAGCCAGAATATCTGGCTAAAACTGAATTTAAAAGAAACCTGAAGCAGATGGTTTGTCAACAAAAAGACAATCATGAGAGGAAAGGTGCCATTTCATGAAAAATTGTCCTATCTGAAGTCAGTATTAAGTCAGTTAGGCCATGTAAAGTTTATAAATTGTTTAACAAGTTGCAACTCTGTTAGTAGACAAAATGTATGTTGTTTTTAAACATATGACATTTAATGAGCACAATAGCAAAATTTTAGGGTATTCTTCAGGGGGCTGGGAAGGGGGGGGGCGAAATGTCAAACTCTCAGTATGAGCTATTTTCTAGCATAAGAACAGCAATATGGGATTTTTTCTGGGGTTGTGCATAAATTTACCCGAATATGTACTCTTTTTGAAAAAAGATGGGTACAAAGGAAATTAAAAACTTCTGTTTTTCTCAAAATTCAAGTTGGTCGCACTCGTTAACCAGCATATCAGATTTGTCTGGCCTAATTAAGACAAGAATGTTAGGTGTTAATTAGGCAGAAAATTCTTACAGGGTTGATGAAAGGCACAACCACATGGGAGATAGGAAGATGGATGATTGATATTAGGAGCTTCTCTTGGCTGTTATTTTCAATCAATGAGGTTATTTATGAAGGCATTATTTTCTCACACCTGTAGAGTGTAAAGTAAGGCAGCATCATTGGGTGACAGACGGCAGAGTTCTCCAGCTGTTCTGTAGGATTTGATACTTCAAATTAAGCTGCTGAAATTCATGGTGAATCCCTAGGATATTTTAATTAAAATGACTGCTTTCGTCACCTTCACCTCAGTGAGTCTTCCATGTTGGGTCTTGTATAAAAGGTGCTTTTGTAATACAGCAAGCTGAAGTCTGTCTTGTGGTCACTTTTTTTTTTTTTTTTTTTTTTTTTTTTTTTTTTTTTTTCCCTGGAATGGTAATCTGAGTAGTGATTATATAAAACCCTATAGAGGTAAAATCTGGCTGTGTGATGATTTCTGTCACAGGAGATTCAGTTCACACTGGTCTCTCAGTAATTCATTCCTCCGTACAGAAGGCCCTATTCTCTCCCAGACACATAAATTAATGCAGAATTAGACTAGTATGTTGCCTGGTTCAAGTTTCTGCTGTGAAACAGAACTATGAATATATAATATTATCTGAAGGAAGCTTCAGGAACCATATGTCTGAGGGCTCTCTTTTCTGTAATTGTTTGTTATGAGAGGAGTATTTGAGTTGAAATAATGTCTGTCACAGATTGTGAATGGTGCATGGTAATCCAGGTAATTTGCCACTGGGGATAATCTTCCTACCAATTAAACAAGGCCTGTATTATTTATATTCTTGTATAATTTAATGTAATAATATCTTTAACAACTTGTGTAATTTAATGTTATAATATCATTAATTTCAGATGTATCTTAAGTTTATAAGCAAAATAAATTATTATTATTATTATTATTATTCACAGTTCTTTACAGCCATGTTTATAGTCAAGTTGGGTCCACTCAACTCTTTATCACATGTGGACCTGACCATCATCATTGTAATTGCCTAAACTAGCTTGGTTCTGATTGACGGCTTTCTGCTGTGACCTGATTGCAATCAAATGGCTCCCTGGAAAGGGGAGTTCTAAATTAGGTTAATCAACCTTCACCGGGAGTCATTTATTTCCTGGAACGTATTACCTGTATGACGTTGTCTGTCAAGTGAAGACAGGTGTGCTGTTTTATCATTTCTCTCTTTTTCTGCTCTTATCTCGTACCAGTAGAGTTTTTGCCGACTGTTCAAGTCCTCTTGTCAGGGAGCATCATGTGATACATACATTTTAAAATATGTGTCAACTTTTTTCTTCAATACGCACATTATGAGGCATTGTTGTACATTCCTCTGATAGACACTGACTGCTTTTTTTCCCAGGATTTATAATAGTAATGGTTTTCATTTCTTTTACATTGCATATTGCGGAGAACAGTGACTTCATGTTTTGCCTAAAAGAATAATTTAACGTGGCTAATTGGCTAAATTGGCAGGAACTCCCCAGAGTAGGCCAACCTATGAACAGTATAAATGTACTTTAATATGCAGTTCACTTGTAAAAAAAATAGTTCTCCATTCAGAAATTGTCATGACAATAGCTAAGAGCCAGTGTGAAATATATTTCAGTCTTTCCTGCTTACTCTGAAGAACAAGATAAACAATAGCTCTATCTATGTGTTTTGAGAATTATGATCATAATGTAGGCAACACATAGCATAATGACTCTCTCTCTCTCTCTCTCTCTCTCTCTCTCTCTCAACCACTAACATTTCAGTTATGATCAGCTACCTGCTCAGCTTCCTCCCCTAGGTCTGTAATCAACCAATTTCCAAGTTGTAAGTGGCACTGATGATCAGTCTAAAACAACACGGCAATGGCAGAGCTTTGAAGCTCTCAGCATGCGCTGTAGCCAAGCCAGTATGCTGCCTGCGCTCTTCACAGTTCAACTCTCAGGTATGGCGGGAGTACATGCAGGTAGTTGAAATTCACACATCAGGTGCATTCAGACACAGAATTCAGAATTCGTTTTTGGTCCAAAATGTGTCACCAGGGCAATGCCTGTGCATCTACTCTGGTAATTTTAGGCTTTATGGCATATTGTGATAGCTCACAAGAAAACGGTGCACCGACACAGTCAACTGCGGCTCTGAAAATGAAATCTCTGCTAATTAATTTGACGACTGATGCAACATTTTAGACCTGAACCCCCTTTCGTTCTATGTACCTGTCTGTGGCCACCTATTGATTAAAGCAGGATTGTTTTGTGTGTTGAAAACATCTCCCAGTACAGGGGGAGCGCAAAAACATCGGACAATGATCTTGTTACTGTATGATAACACTTGGTAAAAAGGTTTAGTAAATAGCTGTACAATCGAGGAGTGTTTGCTTAGGCGGGGAGTAGAGCCGGCGTGTTTACCTTGATTGTTAATAGGATTGTGATATATGGGTAAAGTCAAAGGAAACTTGGGTGAAAATCCATCACATTCTGTCCCTTTGATCCGTCTTTGTTGAAGCAGAACGTGGAAATTATCTGATTTGATTGCATTTAATTTTGTAATGTTTGTTGACTGATTGATCAGGGAGTCAGTAAAGAAGTCTATTGAAATGTTTGATTTTGAAGTGTTTTACTGCTGCCTATTCTAAATTTGTTGTTGAACGTTATATTTTTGATTTTGAGGATTGTGAATTTTTGGGGCTGTTTCCCCCCCCCCCCTCTCTCTCTCTCTCTCTCTCTCTCTCTCTCTCTCTCTCTCTCTCTCTCTCTCATTCTGTTACACAATCTCAGTTCTGTTTTCTTGCCATAAGATAGTTATAAAATTATTTCTTCTGGATTGTTTTCCTCTGGTTAACAATATCAAGGTTTTGAACATTATAATATCTCTTAAATGTGAAATTCTTTTGTTTCTGTCTATGGCCTAGAGTAGTGTACATGCACCACTGAAAAACAGCAGTATCAGATAGTCACAACAACATAAAAATGTCATTAGTGAGTGCTATCTGAAACCAACGTGAAAAATGCTAGCGTGGTCGAAAGTACTGTAACATGACATTCTGCGTGGTAATATGAGGACCAAGGTAATGCTCGAGAAGAAAAAAATGAGATGCAACATGTTTTTCTTCTGTTTTAAAGTAAGTCTATTTGTACTCGGATGAAATGATTTGTAAAGGTTCTATCATGTGGTCTTCTTTGCTAAATAGGCGTTTGTATCACAGTTTAGGTAAAATTTTGTGAAAATGAATACTATTCAGCTTTTACTAGGTTTCATAAAAGGAAAGTATGGATTGGCAAGTTTATGGATTGGCAAGTTTATTTTCAAAAGAAGGTAGATAATCACTGAAAGGACTTAGTTATTAGTGAGATTGTTATGTTTGGTCATTGGTATTAGTTTAAGTGAAGTGGGGAGTTCTTTTGTGGCAGAGCCTGTCTCTTGACAAAAAAAAAATTGAGCAGACGTCAAATAGGAAGGTGCTGTAATAGAGCAGTGTTAGTTTAGCGATTATTCCAATTTTTGATATTTAAATGCGAGCTCTGGTTGTTGTTTTAGCAATTAAAACATGTTTTTGCTACTTTTGAAGGCAATATTGAACTGTTGTTTTAGCAGTTACTGCGAGTTTTGATACCTTGGAGCAAATGATGAGTTTACACTTTGATAACTTTAGCCTTGTGTGATCCAGGACTGATAAAATGAAAAGCACAAATATCCGGTCATATCTTATGGCCAAGTTTATTAAAACTGACAAATTTTTTGCGAAGTGATCAACACAAGGGTCGTAACTGCACCCCCCCCCCCCCCCCCCCCCCAAAAAAAAAAAAAAAAAAAACTTATCTGGGAACCTTTTTTTACCTGATTCAACAGCAAAACAGTCCGAGAGTGTTCACATTACATCAATGTTTATCCAAGTATAAAAAGATGCAATCAAGCAGAAGAGAGGTATTTATAAACTACATCAGTCACTGCTCCACAAATTTAGATTGATATTGAGGCACCTGCCCTTATTGATTTGACCAAAGTTTGAAATGAGTGTTTTACTCAAGTGAAGTAAAGAAAAAAAAGAGAAAATATTAATGAGAAACATTTTTCTTCATTTTCTTAACCAGAGGATTTTTCATTAGTTTTGGTGAAGATTGATTGATAGATTCACCCAGCAAGACATGAACTAATCACTAGTAGTATGAAGATCAAGGTGTATCCAAATAAAGAGAAGAAAAAAGGTGCTAATGATAAACATTTCTCATCTTCTTATTGATCAAGGGATTTGTAACTGAATTAGATTCACCTGCCTTATATTAGCCAGACTTTCTTTATTTGCCAAGAAAGCTTTTCAGAAGAAACAAAACCAAAGCGAAACGGAACCCCAGATGTTGTGTCTGACAAGTTGACAGTTTTCTTTGAAATTTAAATGATATGTTTTTTGTATATTTAGGTCAGTCCTCAATGAACCTCATGATTTTTATGTATTACAACTGTTGATATTATCTTTTTCAATTTATATATTACAAAAGAAAATATTAGGGGTACTATTTCCTAGCACTTTGAGTGAGAAGCACAAACTCTACAAACTGACCTTTACAGACTGATCTCATGATTTTCAAAGATAATTCTTTTATCAGCTTGAGTTTTACATAAAAAAAGCAACTCCCAAAATCTCTAGTGCAGTTGTTCATGTCTGTCTTCATCATTATAATTGGCTAGTTCACTGACTTGTAAATTGACAGAATAAGATCATCGGGTTTTTTTTTTCTTGTTAGCAAAGAAAAGAAGTTTGAATTTTTTTTACACACCTTTTTTCTTTACACAACCATAATTAAAGAAAATTAAATGCCAAGACATTGTTGAAATCTATTTTCCATGTTATCAATTTTTTTTAGTTTATAAGATCATGTTTCTTCATTACATTCTTTCTTTTTAGTTAATTTATTTCATTTGCAAAGAGATGATTAAGATCCTGCTAAATAAAACAGAAAAAAGCAATAAATAATCTTCATGGTTATTTTATCAGTAGTTGCCTCAGCAGTGAAAGCATTTGATAAGAAATCAATCAATATTACATTTGCTGACAGTAATCAGAATATATTCTCATGATGAATAATTCCTTTTTTTTTTTTTCGTCTTTTAAGTACTGCCAAAAAGGAAGACATACGCATCTTTGATTAAGTTGTGCATTTTGCTATGACTGGATTATCCTGAACTTTGTAAATTTGATGGACGTGAAAGGACGTAGATGATGCAGGATAAAAGTTTCATGGTGTTGGAAGAGATTGAACTCAAGTAATGATTACTTTAAGTAGTTACACACACACAGAGAGAGAGAGAGAGAGAGAGAGAGAGAGAGAGAAAGTTTTGTGTGTTAACTGTGATAACCTGATAACCTAGCTGATAAAGCTCCATAGAGTCGGATGTAAGTTTCATCGCAAGCTGCATAGACTATAAAAACCTAAAGAATGGCACCTGAGAGAGGGCTAAACAGACACAAATGCATGCTTCTGGGATATTTCTGTTTGCGATAATAATAAATAAAACATTAACACCATTCTCTACAGGTAAAGTTAGAATAAATACCCAACAGTTGCCAGACATATAAAGTTGCGCAACACATGCAGCCACAGCTATATTTAATGTTCAACAGGTGAGACGGATGGATGCTGCTCCTGGGGATAAAAAACTTTCTGGGCTGGTTTCAATGTAGAACATGAGTCTGAGAATCGGTCTAAACCCTTAGGCCAAAATTTAAGCCTACTTTGAGCTATGATTAATCTGCTATAGTCAAGTTTAATGAAATAGGGCACCTGGTTGTTTTCTATCAAGAATTACCTACCTGATGTCTCAGATCAGCAACTATTTATGAAACTAGACTTCTGCAGATCAACCTTGAACTTTTTTGGCCTTAGGGGCCATTCCCACAGATATTTGGATCGATCTATCTCCCTGGAGAGACTCACTTATTTGCTATCAACTTAATTGGCTTAAATGTCTGTCACGCCTAGTAAAACTGTTAGGGAGTAATTATCTTTACCCCCTAGCTGATTCGGTAGGCCTGACAGACATTTAAGCTGGTTAAGTTGATAGCAATTTAGTGAGGCTCCCCAGGGAGTTGGACCGATCCAGATGGATCGATCTAGGCATGGGACCCCAGTCTTAAAGTTTAGATCAATTTCCAGGCAAAAAATTCTGAATGAAACCAATCCTGATTGGTGCCAAATGGCTCTTCTCTGCCTTCAATATTCCCATAAGGCAGCTACTGCATTCTGTTGGAAATGCCACATAGCCATTTGGTAGTTTCCGAGAATATTACAGACTCTACACTGTCATAATGATAATAGGGATGATTTTTCAGTAATCTCTGAGTCTCTGGGTATGCTCCAATGGAAAACATAACACTGTGAGCGCATTCACAACAGATGATCCTCGGATCTACTGATCAGCGGATCAAATATGGCAGTCTCCACATTAAAGCAGAGCCGACTTATCCGCTGATGGTCTCCCTGCTGCCACATGCGCTGTCCCAGCCAGGGACTAGTTTATCAAACCTGGGAGCTGTGATTTAATCCATTTAATGGCGGGTGCGGCGGGAGGGAGACCATCAGCAGATTAGTCGGCTCTGCTTTCATGTAGAGACGGCCATATTTGATCTGCGGATCAGTAGATTCGAGGATGGTCTGTTGTGAATTCCCTCTATGATTCCTACATGAGACCTTTTATGTGAAGCAGTATGTTTAACAGATAAAATCTATATCGATATAAAGATAGATAGATAGATAGATAGATAGATAGATAGACAGCTTAATAACCTGGCTATTTCGTAAGATGGTTTCCTATACCATGTGGCTACGAATTAATGGATGAATGGTAAGATCAAATGAAATGGAGTGAAAAGTGAGGCAAATCAAATTACAGAAATTAAATGTCTTCACTGAAAAAAGAGTTAAGCAGAAATGCTAGCAAAATCCCATGGCACACGCATGAATCTTTGTGTGGCACGAAAGCTGTTATAACATAAAAAGACCATAGATAATTGTGCAATTCAATATACCATTTTGTGTAACATTTTTTGAATACATAATCAATACAAAGCTATCATAAGTTGGATCTGTGTTGCATTTTTATGCGGAAATGGTGAGGAACATGGACTGGTAAAAATGACATCATAAGATGAATTTAAAAGTTATCATCTGATTTGACTGCCTGGGAAACAATTGGATGGGATACCACCGGATATCCATAAAGAGTACAATGTGTCTATTTGAATGAGAGGTGTAAAAGTGCTTACACCTGTGGCGTATTCTTCCTGAGCTAAGCTGGCGTGAATGAGGCGGGCATGTGAGCAAGGCCCTTTGATGAAGGGTCGAAAACGAAACAGCATGGTGCTTTTAGAACACGGGCACTTGCTCTTTGCAGAATTCCTTTGTTGTACATTGCAAAATGTGTGGAATTCGGGGATCTTAGTAATTCATAGTAATACCATGGAAAAATGGCCACTTAATACAATGACTTGGACTGACAGTATTTCAACTATTTGCTTGTAACTACTTTGGTCAGTTTGCTTGGAAATAAAACTAGCATCTTTCTGAATCTATTATTTCATATAAATTGTATGAATTCAGAGAGAGAGAGAGATAGAGAGAGAAAGAGAGAGAGAGAAAGAGAGAAGACCAGTAAAAAAAAGGGGGAGGAAGGGGGGAATGAACACCTTTTTATTTAAAAGAAATGGTCCATCTTGAATCAAAATATAATCTAGGTTATATGCCTTTTATCCAGTTGGTTTAGCAAAGGAAGCTGAACCCCTTTTCACGATTGGAGAGAGAGAGAGAAAGAGAGAATGAAAGAGAGACTGACTGTAAAAGGAATATTTCAAGATGGCCTCATCAGTTTAAATCAAGTCATTTATATGGTGCCACTCAGTTTCCTGGAAAAACCAGTGCATAATCTTCTTCTAATTCTTTCCGCTGTAAACTAATCACACCGTGTGTCTTTTTACCAACAAACCAGACACAAGGCTGTGCTAGCTGCATGAAACATCTCTGTCTGGGCTTGGTTTTCTTAAGGGAATTAAAGATCCTAAAGATCCAAAAAATTGTCCTAACTTTTAGATAGAAAATTTTGGATTTATTCCGTTTAGGATGAATCAGTACTGTAACAGTGCCCTGTTAATAAAAATTACTAGTAATCATTTTTCAAGAGATTTTTTTTTAACCTGTGAGGTGTGATGTTTCAGCCCTTCTTCAAAGGGGCTTGAATTTCACCATAAATCAGGGATGGTCTTCTAAAAATAAGTAGCATGTTTGCCGTTTCTATCTTTTATGAAAACAGATACAAGTTTCATTAACGTTGACCACTATTGATTTCTCTTCGGTCAGAGTAGCTGAGTAGAATTTTGCTCTTGAAATTTATGGGTCAATTTTCAGTTTTCAGATGGGTTGTGAATTAAACCAGCCAGAGGAAAGGCCCTGATGCACAGCTTTATGAATTATTCAGTCTATGTGCTTGCATTATGTACAGCAATAACTGCTAAACCTATGTGGGGCACGTTTTTAGCTCTGGGATTCGGTTGTTGTTTTTATCTGACATGACTTCATTTAGGCATAATATTGTCTGCAATAGTCTCTCTCTCTCTCTCTTTGGCAATTGTGGGTATGAAAAGATATATATATATATAATGGAAGATTAAACATTTGATAAGCCACTTTTTCTTGTTCATGATAATGAATATAACAAAAGCAGTAAAAAAATCGATGATAACTATATTATAGTAGAAAATTACGATTTGAATGATAATTAAAACAATTTCTGAGTAAGTATGATATTTGAAAATCAAACTAAAACCCCAGCTACTGGTAGCATAGGTACATTAAAACGTAGGCAAATAAAGTGATTTCTTTTCTTTCATGCATGATTAAAATACAGCTGTGTTTAATACACTTATACTAAGTCATGTTTTCTGTGGTTGTCACTCACCTGTATGGCCACCAGTGATTTATCACTCAGAATGCTGCTCGATCACTACTGCTATCACATTTCAAGGAAATGCTGCATACGATCTCACTTTTCCTAGCAACCCGAAGCTCGAGACACCAAACTCCTTGAAAATAACGGAATGAAAAAGCCAAGCTATTTAATCTCCACAGAGTGCACGTCTTTTCATAAGACCATAGATGAATGTAATTAGTTTGTGGTCGTAAGGAAACGTATGGATTTATGAAGCCTGTTATTAGAATCTTGAACTCTGATTGGATGATTGCCAGGTTGTGGATGTATTTTGCTGATATCTGGTATAGATATTTGTATTGTGGAAATAACTAGTGTCTGTCAGTCAGCCTGTCAATTTTATGGATTTATTTACATTAATTTTTTTGTATGTGTGTGTGTTTGTGTGTGTGTGTGTGTGAGAGAGAGAGAGAGAGAGAGGAGGGGGAGGGCACTGTGTACTGCTATGAAGTTGTGCTGTAGGACTGAATGTGTAGAGAGTTAATGGAAAAATTTGAGTTTAACCACAAATCAATTCCATAGATTATTTAAACCAACAGATATTTTTGCCTGCAGGTGTAGAAGCAGCAAATCTACGCAAACAGTATTAATTTTTTTTCTTCCTCTGGTGTGATAGTTAATATGTGATAGTAATGTGGCCATAATCATGTTAAGTGAATTGTGATACCTTTAAGAAAACCTTACCTTTTTCAACAAGAACACTATGGATGAAGCACATTCAATTTCCAGTGCTATTATGCAATACTACTTCAGATGCACTTGCAGCAGGCTTCCTGCAGACTGACAAGCTTCCCATATGGGAATAAAGAACACGGAGCTCATGCATTTATTATTATCTGAAGTGTTGTGTTTACTGTATTGACACTTCTTAATTGATGGATAATGGTATGAAAAGCACAAGTGTATAGCCCTGTAGGCACAATTTTTTTCAAAGGGGGGGGGGGGGGGCTCGTTTTCTGTAAAAGCAAAGCTTTTTACCCCCTAATTGAACTAACTTGTGAAATGTCATTGAACCTAGATTAAATTTTTAGTCGAAGCAGACTATTTTCCAGCCGAAGGTTAATTCTTTTAAATCCACCAGCCTTCCCCCCTTCCAGAGCCTGAGAGTGTGTGTGTGTGTGTGTGTGTGTGTGTGTGTGTGTGTGTGTGTATTAGCATATGCAGATTTCCTCCTTTTTTATTTGTGAAAGAGGAATATTAATTGACAGTTGTTGGGTTTAGTATAAAATGCCCCACACCCCCCCC